TGGCATTTTTCGCAGGCAAAATGTCGCCTCTCGAGAAGCTCAAGGAAAGGTAACGAGAAGGGACAGAAATTAAATAAAAGTAGCATCAGCGACAAACTGAAGAGTGTCGTTCTAACTGGCTATTTGTCGTCTTTCACTTTTTCTTTTGTTCATTCTTTTTCTAGTTCAGAGGATCGGGTACGAACCGACGATGGGACTAATGCGTGAGATTCACCTGACGACGGAGCGCATGTTGCTTCGCCGTCCGGCGAGCAGGTGCAGCTGAATACGCTGGCAACAACAACAATGCTGGCGCATCTGCAGCTGCTGCTGCTGCTGCTGCTGCTGTGCTCGTTGTTGCCTTTTACCATTGGCCGCCGCGTGTAGCTTGCGTTTGCGCGACCGTTTGAGCATTTTCTGCCGATCCAGCAGGAAGTTACCGCGCCACAGAGTCTCGAAGAAGGCCCGGCCGTCGGCCGGACCCCGTCCGCGCGCGGGTTTCGCTGCCGGCATCGTCGTGGACATCGTCATTCCTCGGAAACGACGATGATTATCATGAGGCGCTGGTTCTCCAAGAGTTCTTCTTCGTCGCACCTTCTTTTTCTCTTTAATATGTTTTTCTTATAGTAATCGTTGGTTCTCGAGATCCCCTCTCTCTCCTTTCTTCACCGTCGTCGATTTAAAAACTTTTCCAAGTCCTATCGGTTCTAGTCGTCCTAACTTTACTGTGTAAAATGTTCTATAAAGTGTAAGGTGCCCTCAAGTTCGGATGTTTCAAGTTTTATAAATTCTCCTTACAAATCTCGTTTTTTCTATAAAGTTTTTGCTCTTGAGATTCTTCCTGGTAGTAAAGTACTATGTAACACAGTCGTTACACTATTTTTCTATATTGTCTTCGGTTACAAACTGGTTACGAATAATCCGTGTCATCATTTTTCACTCGGAGCGGACTTCAGAGTGAGTCTCATGAAACTCGTGGTAGTTTCAAGTTTTACGAATTCTCTTCTTATAATTAGAGATAAATATAGAATTCAGGTATTACATATAAACGTGTGATTTTTCATAGCGGAGCGTGCTTATCGCCGTTGCGACTCGACGCGATCAGCTCCACGCGAGAGCTCTCCTCCCAGGATCGCACTTTTACTCGCTGCAATTTTACTCGAGAGTTCCGACCATTAGACTTGAAGACTGGATCTCTCCGTGGTCGACTTACTGTACCGCCCGAAATAAGGAAAATCCGGCACAATCCGGTGAATAATCGACGATCAAGTAATTAAGTTGCTAATTAAGAACTTAAGAAGCTTCGTCGGTCGGCTCACGTTGCGTAAGTAGCTTTCCAACACTTAATCCCCTTCGCCAGAGGAAGGCAGGGGTGAGATTTCGCACAGACATAGAAACGTAATAGTTCTCTCCCTCTCCGGTCGCCGCGCCGCGCCTTTTGTATCCAGTATTCCGGCTTTCCTAGGCAGAACAATCATCCGCCGACGATGACAATGGTGGTTCCGTCTCTCACTTTCCTCACGTTCCACTACCTCGATGTTCCTCAAGCGACCCCCGTCATCTCATATCCGAGTGTCGCTTATTATTCTCGCCGACGTTATCACTCTTCTCGCGCATACATTTCTTCCCGTCCTTTTATTCCTCCTTCATCTCGTCTCTCTCGTTCATCACTTAATGTTATTGTTATATTTTTCTACCGTTATCGGGAGAATAACGACAACAAATGTATTACGTATTATGTATTTTGCATTATATATAATGTATTATCAGAGGAATAACGATGTTACTTGTTAATTAGGTATTATCTTACGATGAGATTATTATGCTTTAACGCCTCGGGTCATTAAAGTTTTTTTTTCTCCCTTATTTTGATACGCTCGTGGAAGAATATATAGGAATATAATATGTATATATATATATATATATTATGCATATATGTATCGTGTCGGCGATGTTGCTGTATATTATGCACTCTAACGCAGGAGTTAGTTCAGGAAGACTTCAGATCAGGCACACTATTATCGTCGCGTTGCTTCCCGCTCGCGGAAGACACTTTTCTCACCGACGTAAAATCGATTTGTCGTCGTCGTCGTCGACTTGGAGACACATGGACTTTGTAGAAAAACAATCTCTCTCGTCGTCCTTCGAGTCGATGTAAATCTGGATTCTCTCCGAGAGATGTGAAACATATCCTTATTTGTATTCCTCTTTGATATCCTTAGCGAGGCGAAACTTGCGATCGCAAAGGAAGACGCGTGTATAATATCCTTCGCAAGTTATCAAATTATGATTCTTTTCTTTTCATTGAAACACCCTTTTTCCTATCACATTTGTCAACTGTTTGTTCGCACGTTTCTCCTCATGGGCTTCTCTCTCTCGCTCGAATTTTCTTCCTCTTCTCCTCTTCTTGTATCGCTTCTCGATATTTTCTCGATATGTTCTGACAACGAGTACCGTCGTCTTGCTCCCGTATAACGTGACGTTAACTCTAGACTTAAATCTCTACAGCCCGTTATTATTTAACTTAGTACTTAGGGACGATCTAGTAGAGTAAGTAGCAATTACACGAATTAAACGCTAGTGGAAGACTTTTGTGATTTTTCCGCGGGATCGGCGTATCGCGGTGTCACATGTTTGTTCGATCCGAACACGGGGCTCGTTAGTCGCCCCTTGACAATTCCCGATGCAGTCGTCGACGACACACGACGACGCGTCCGGCGTCGTCACGCCGGTCCATCCTCGCACTGAACCGGAAAAGTCGGACGAGAGGGATGCTGCGTCCCCTCTCACCTTTCTCTCACCGGTTCTTCTCCCTCGGTCCACACTGAACGCAACTCCCAGGCCTTCCCTCTTGGCGCCGGCGCTATGGGCTACGTCGATATCGCGAGTACAAACCTCAGCCTCCACCCCTTTTGACGCTGGCGCAGAGAGTGCACGCGTCCCCGCCCTCGTGATATTAAGTTTGGATTCTTTAATTTTCCCTGAGCTCCTGGACTCTTCAGCTCTTCTTTTCGCTCACAGAATATTGCTACGCAACTTTTTACGTAATTTCTTACGTAATAATGTCATATTTCAAAAATCGGATTTTTCTCGAAATTTAAATTTTTTTTAGAAACCTTAAATTTTCATTGAGTATCTTCCATCACTCGAGGATAATTTTCTTTGTTTTCTTTTTCACTTTCTCTTTCTCTTCCTCTAATTAATATTTTCATAAATTTTTAAACTGCATATATTTAAACATGTTGGATTATATACATTTCTTAAATATCTCTTTCGCGCGGATATGTTTCGTAAATTAAATTACTAATCCTCTTAGAAAAGATTTGAACATAAGAACATATATTTCCCACGAGATATTGCGTTTGCGTAAATTCTATATTGATGTGAGATCAAATGAAACCATAGAGTGAGAAGATCCCAGGAAGCTCAGACACTCTGCATACATGTCGTTTCATATAGCATCCGCCGTCGGGATTATCCTGGATTTAGCTGACGGATGTCAATAGAAAGAAAGCTTCTCTTTCAGAACTTTAAGCGTTTCTTTGAAACGAAAGTTATTACATTTCATAAACTACAACTTTTCTCGGTCAAATTAACAAAATTATAGTTTCAAATTTCTCCTGTGTTACACATATTACGTTTACACATTATATTATATCTTGTTCAATTCATTTAAAATAATTACATTTGCTTGATTTACTTCAAATTATATTGCAAATCATGTTGCAAGATAGTTCACACCAACTCAACTGATTGATATGGCATCAATGCAATTTCATTTCAAGCAAAATGAAGAAGAGACATATTTACTTACTTAATACGTCCAAACTCATCTTGTGGTGTGGATGATTTAATATCACTGCCCATCAACATCGACCTGTACGACTCTACTTTGTTTTGCACTTCCTCACTTGTGAATCTGCGATTTGCATCAAAATAAAAAGTATACAGAATTGATTTTTAATTAACTTAACTGAATTCCTCCATCAGAATTATATTTTCTATATTTCCTCAATATATCATATTAAATGACCCAAGCCTCAGCAAAGAATTACTATTGTCGGTATAATTCTCAAATAGCTACCACATATGCAGGCTTTAATTAGATTGTAAAGTGTAATAGGATTAAGTTTGTTCACCTTTGGCTTCAATAGACAATCCCAAGATAATACATTTATACATCTTTGTTGAAAACAAAGATTCTATTGTCAATACTGGTAATTGTCATGAATTTGAGATTTTTAAATAATTGTATATAACTCTTAGTTAAAACATAATAAATATAATTATTAAATTAAAACTATAAAAAAATATTAAAAAATTGAAGATTATATTAAAATATGTGAATTCTCAAAAATAAAATAATCTTTAGATCATCAGGGATACAAAATGAAGGATACAATCTAGAAATATGCTTACCCTTGTTCCTCTAGGATGTCAGCCAATTCGGCACACTTTACTTCGACCTTCCTCTTTCTAACATGATCTAAAATTTCTTTATTTGGTTGTTTATTGAGTTGATCAACTTTGCCCTCGTCTGCCTTATAAGTAACCTTATCCTTGGTTTTGCGCACAATTGCCCAATTTCTTTGGACATGTCCATTAGTGCCAGAACCTCGTGGGGTTTGAAGTCCAATGCCATTGTACATTTTGTTTCACTCCTAAAAACCAAAGATAAATGACATTTGAGATATATAAAAAGATATGCTTTAAGCAAGATGTTTAAGAAATTGAATACAAAATGAAACAATTATATTAAATCGTACACAAATTATAATATTAACAAGAATATTAATCGCACAAGTTTGAATACAAATCCAGCTTAAAAATAAGCTTTTTAAACAACTGTATCTCTTTTTTCAGTTGACAAAACTCTTGGAATCACATGTGTGCAAATACACATTGTGCAATTTGATGGTGACTGCCAAATTCAAACGTCGTCAAGGGTGGTACACGTCCTTTTAATTTTTAAGTACACATTACAAGATTATATAGAACTGCACGAAGCGCACCGCCCGTGTACACTCGCCAAGTATCACGGATCAAATGATGTCAGTGGATCGACCGTTCACGCCGAGCGACATTATTGCAGTATAGAATCACTCGACTACATATATTATATATATGTATATATGTATATATACATGTATATATACACACATTGTTACTATATATATATATATATACAAACCTCATACATTATATGTATATATATATATGTGTGTATATGTATGTGTATGTATGTATATAACACTGTTAATAATCTATCACATTCACGGATACTTAGGTTAGAGTAATGCACGTATTAATCAATTATCGATCCGGTGTCGCCCGGTGCTGCGCAAATCTCGCTCATTCGAACAGTCGTTGTATGCTATTAGGAGTTATCTTACCTGCCTGTGTTCGTCAGAGAAGCCGACAACAACGACGTTTCCGCGGGCCGGAAACCCATTCGCTGTACAAACGAAAACGCGAGAACGAAAATTGGAGAGAATTTCACACGCAAACAGTACGAGAACCCTACGGACCGTTGCAATCTTCGGTCTCACAGATTTGGCAATTCGCTTTAGTTTCGGCAGCGGCCGCATGAGGACGCTTCGTGGCCAATTCACTAGTCGGTAGGATGTATAGAATTTTCTAGGGAAAATGCAAAGTCCGTTTTTTGTAGTTGCACTTTTTAAATCATTTTGGCTGCGTTCCGAAATTCACTGCCAATACTGCAAATCTATAGTTCACGTTACGTATATTATAGAATTTCAGTACTGGCAGTGAATTTTGGAACACAGCTTTTATAATTTATCTTCTCTCTTTCATCCAAGTGCATTCAAATAATTCGACTTTGAATTAATTTTCTTAGGCTGCGTTCCGAAATTCACTGCCAGTACTAAAAATACATAGTTTGTGTCACGTATACTATAGAATTTCAGTGCTGACAGTGAATATCGGAACGCAGCCAAACTAATCGAAACACACAATTTTAGTGATAATTTACCAGACTTGTCACTACTTAGGCTGCGTTCCGATATTCACTGCCAGTACTGAAAATACATAGTTTATGTCACATATACTATAGATTTTCAGTACTGGTAGTGAATTTCGGAACGCAGCCTTAGTAAGATATCAGAAGTCACCAGACTGAATAGAACGTTTAGTAGAGTTCAGTCGTCTTCACTAGTTTTTTTTATCTATGGCTGACATGTGTGGCGCGCTCCGTGGTGTTTTGTGTTTTCGGATTTCTCCTCCATCTCTCTCTTCCTCTTTCTCTCTTTCTTCTTTCTCCTCTATTGCCCCCTCCATCGATGCGCTCATATCGCGCGTCAACTCTGACCGCTCGTCCCTCTCTCCACCTCTGATGCTCCCATCACGAGCTATTCTGTAGCACGAATTGACGCCACGATTGACGAATATCTGACGTACAAGTGACAACATGTAGATTCTTAGATCTTCATCAGGCCATGTCAGCGTGATCGGGGTTGTGAATCTGATAGCCAACGGATCCGCTCGTTGAAGCGGATAACAATCACGGCTACGACGACGACGATTTCGTCGGCATATCGATCCTTCTCGATGCATCCCTATGCTGGTAAACAGTCGACCTCGCCCGCAGCAGCAAATCGGTAGAGATCATCACCATCACCGAGACGAGATGGAGTTCATCGGCGACTACGAGTACAATGGTCGGGACATGATTGGCAACGGCGCCTTCGCCGTAGTTTTCAGAGGCAGGCATCGCAAAGTAAGCACACTTCCGCGACTTTCGTTTTGTTTGCGAGCTAAAATTAGCCATCAGTCATTTAAAATTTAAATAATATAGACATTAAAGATGCAATCGATTGCAGAATGATTGAGATACATTTTTTTCTAGTGAAGTTAGAACGTTGCAGGTGATTGCAGGTGACAATCGTGAGCTGCTGTTTACAGATTTGTGTTGTAAATGGTTATGACTGCAGTCTAAGTGTATCAATATATGATATAAATATTGATATTTTGTTATATTTATATGTGAATATAATATAGTAGATATACTTGAGTTTTTTCTGAATCTTTTGTTGCAATTGTGTGTATTGGAAGTTTCATATATTATCATTTCGAGTCATAACTAACCATTGTGTAAGCTTATTAGTAACGATAATTATGATAGCTTATAGTATTTCTAACTTTATTAGCAAAAATATGATTCTACTATTTTGTTACTGACTATACTTAGGTATATAATTAAGCAAATGTAAGAAAGAAACCAATGAGAACTTAAGTTGCACATACCAATAAATATGCATCAATCATATTTTAATGCTTACTGATATTATATACTTAATAAAAGTTGAGTGAAATTTCAAGTTTTAATTAGTTTTATTTATTTATAAATTTTGGTGAATATTCTTTATCTATAACTTGGATGCATTAAATAACGCAATTATTATCTGTTTATATTTCTAGAAAATATAATATTAAGAGTTTCTTGTAAAACTTTTTATTTTTCATTATCTTGTTTTGTAAGATAATACAATATTCTTTTTTATTGAGAACTAAAGCTGAGATTTTTATAATATGTATATCTTATGATTTATATTTTACAGAAACCAAATTTTGTGGTAGCTATTAAATGTATCACAAAAAAGAACTTGGCTAAGTCACAAGAGTTGCTCAAGGAAGAAATCAAGATCTTAAAGGTATATTCGTTTTCTTTGGTACATTATATATGTAAGTTTTGGGAAATTAGTAAAGAAAAAGTAGAAGGAAGAATATAATTTACAAATCTTTAAGATAAAATCTTTGTATTGTTACAGAGATGTTCTTGTATATAATTTGTTGTAACAAATGATAAGAAAACAAGAATATTTTTTAATATTGTTTACTTTGCAGGCATTGACTAAATTGCATCACAAGAACGTTGTTGCATTGTATGATTGTAAAGTAAGACTTTGTTCATTTCTTTAAAACAATATTCTTTGTTGTAAAACAAAAACTGAGATTAATATCTTTTTTTGTATATAGGATTCTACTCATAACGTCTTCCTAATTATGGAGTATTGCAATGGTGGTGATTTGGCAGATTACCTAACTGGTAAGTCTGATTTGACATATTCAAACAATTTCCATTAAAGAACGAAACGGATGAAAGAATTGATGAAATTGAAAAAAAATATTCAAGTATAAAGTACATTATATGCCAAGGATTATATAGTTATAAAAATATTATTAAAAGTTTAAGAAAGAAATTTAAGAAATATACAAACAAATTGATAGTAACAGTTAACACTTAGAATTTAATGCTTGACAATAATATTGTTCCACATGATCTTGCATCAATGTTGTTCATTAATTGGTGACAATAAAATTTTAATGTCTTATTTTTATATTTAAATAAATAAACATATATATATATATATCAATATTTCTTTTCAGCCAAAGGTAGTCTCTCTGAAGATACTATTAGGCTATTTCTGAGGCAGATAGCTGAAGCAATGAAGATATTGCATGAGAAGGGTATAGTACACAGGGATCTCAAACCACAGAATATTTTATTGAGTTACAGCGGTGGCAGAGCATGTCCACAGCCACATCAAATAACGGTGAAGATAGGTAAGAGCCCTTTGAAGCTGATTGAACATGTACGATCAATTCTTCTATGTGTGTGTGTGTGTGTGACATTAATTTTTAATATTAATTTCTAACATTAACAAGCAGCACATGGTGAGTGTTTTCGTGCTGGATCGCATGCAAAGTTAGTAAATTGTTAAAAACTTATCACACAAAACACAACATTCATAACATCTTGCTGTATTGCATGCGATTTAACACAAAAGCAAGCATCATGTGCTGTTGTCTCCATCCTCTAGTCTGATATTTCTTTATGAAGCTTTTCTCGAAACTAATAATAAGGAAACTATAACTTTAAGTTTCCTGCAACTTTTACTTTTATTCCAATATGACTTTTTAAATTTCAGCGGATTTTGGTTTCGCTCGGTTTTTGAAAGATGGCGTGATGGCTGCTACATTGTGCGGCTCGCCCATGTACATGGCACCAGAAGTTATTATGTCACACAAGTATGACGCAAAAGCGGATCTGTGGTCTTTAGGTACTATTGTGTATCAGTGTCTCACCGGGAAAGCACCGTTTCAGGCCAGCAATCCTCATGCACTCAAGTCGATGTATGAAAAGAATGTCGATTTGAGACCCGACATACCGTCTGGGACTTCGCCGGAGCTGACACATCTGTTGATGGGCTTGCTGAAGCGCAATCCGCCTGACCGCATGAGCTTCGACGAGTTCTTTAATCACCCATTCCTTCAGGGCACCAGGATGACTCCGAGCCCGGTATCCGCCGAGTTATCGGCGTCGCCAAGGGCGACAGCGATGCCCGAAGCTGCACCGATCGTCGACAGGTCGGAAGAGCCTGAAACAAGCAGTCCGTGCTCCAGTCCCGAGGATGACTTTGTCCTCGTGCCGAGCGACCTCAGCAGCGACGCCGACAATAATCCCAACCCGCAACCGGTCAAGTATACCAAACAAGCGAACAGGGACGCCGTCAGCCCGCCGCGACCGTGCTTATCGAAATTGTGCGATTATACCAGGCAGACGAGCAGGGAAGCTGTCAGCCCTCCTCGGCCGTGCTATCTTCCCATCTCCGAACCGATCCCGGTTCCGTGCAATCGGAACGCGGCTCCGCAGCCGCCGTCACCTTCGACGAATGCCCGATCTGGCAGCAGCGTCGTACCCCGATCTCAACCCATCAGCATGAAACGCAGCGTAGACTCTCACAGGAGTCATCCGCCGGACATCGGCTCCCTCAGTCCGCCCAGTGTGCAATTTGTCATCGGTACTCCGCCTGGCAGAAGGTACTTTCTGTACTCTGTTTCTTTTTCTCTCGCGTCCCTCAAGATTTTGTCATGCCATTTAGAGTCTTTTTCTTCTATTGTTACTTCAATCTAGGATTAGAAGGATTAGAAAGATTACAGCTGTCTGTTTGCTTGCAACTCTTGATCAGAGACGTTAGGAGTGAACAAATACCAAAGTTTCTTACAAAGTATGTTGACAAGTATAAAGATATGTTCATAAAATAATATACTTGCAATTGATCGAGCAGGTTTGTAAAATAGTCCGAGTTTCGTGATTCTGTCATGTGAATTTGAAAATTATCGATTATCCAAATTGTAAGTGTCATTTTGTAAATTTATAGGAATTTGTAATGTGTGTTTCTTCGCCTTCACGTCATAACTCAAGGTAGCCGCGGCCACAGAAACAGAACAATAATAAATATAATTTATGTATTCAACAGATTGAGCGAGACACCGCCGCCGCCAAATACCTGGCAGGTCAGTCCGGTGGCAAGGCACTCACACACCCCGAGCGGTACATCGCCATTACGTCGATCTACGGGTAACAACAGCGCGTCATCTCCGCTGCTCACCGGACCATTGGCGGTGCTGGGCTCACCTACGTCGAGAGCTTTCCAAGATAACAACAATACCCTCAGGCACTCGCCCGTTATTCCATTCGGTACCAGGGCCGTCACTCTCCCCGAGATATCCGGTAATCCCGATTTAAATCTCACGTTCAGTAACAGTTTACGTTCCATCTGTTGTCACAAGTCTTTCTCTCAAATGTATCGCGTATAATATATTGGAAGTCTGTCTATCATCCACAGAAGCTGGCAGTTTCCAAAGCCTCTTCCCCGATATACCGCCAATGACAACCGACGAGCGCCCGTTGACATTCATCGCGCCGGAATTGCCGGAGGAAACGCTGCTCGAGCGCGAGCACAATGAAATTTTAGCCAAACTCAACTTCGTCGTGGCGTTATGCGAATGTGTGTGCGAAGTCGCTAGGACTAGAGCCGGGCCGCTTGGTAATTTCGAAGAAGCTGCGCCTCTCGGCAGCATCGAACAAGCAGGCAATGCGGCCACCAGACGACGAGCCGAGCAAGTGATTCTACTGGTCCGAGCTTTGCAGTGGCTTAGCTCAGGTTTGAACCTGGCCACGCAGCAGCTCAAAGCTGGGAGGTTACAACCGACAGCTAGTGTGAAGGAGGGTGAGTGCTCGCGTAATTGTCATAAATGCTTATTTTGCAAGATCTGACATGGATTGTTGATGCTCATTTCAACATTATATTTAGTACATGTGCAATGATTAATTAGATGTCGAGCTGAGCGACAAAAATGTTCTACGAGCACGCGACCTAAATTCAATGTAAGTGTTTCATGCGTTACAGTTGTTAGTACCATGAACGAGAAATTCAGATCGTGCCTCACAGAATGCAAGCAGTTGAATAGTGCGGGGCTCCTTCGGCAAACAGGTGCCACGGCGGACAAGATACTGTATAATCACGCGATTCAAATGGTACGGTTTGATCTTTTTAAATATATTCATCGCATCTGCGTCTTTTTCCCCAACACCTGTCTACTATATGTCTACGTTATATTCGACGGGTAAAAAATAATTGAAAATAAATTCAGTATTCGCAATGTGTTGGATATAGAATAATATAATTTTATCAATATAATTTTATCAATGCGTAACACTTAACAGGATTTTATTTTATAGTGTCAGTCAGCGGCATTGGATGAGCTGTTTGGAAATCCCGCGGAATGTTTCCAACGTTATCACACGGCGCAGATATTATTGCACTCGTTGTCGCAGCATGTCAGTCACAGCCAGGATCGTGCTCTGCTCATCAAATGTACGTTTTTACTAAGTACAATTGCGCTTCAGATCAACTTCTTCGACAAATTTTTTCGATTTCGACAAAATTGATATGCAAAAATCTCGTTTTTTAACAAAAATTTGTATATATTAGGGTTGCCATAATTATTCAAATATGTTAATTGCAAAAGAATTGATTAATTCTTATTATATTTATTATATTTTAATATATTTATACTGTTATACATTTAGATATTATTTATTTGGCTGATTATACAGATGAGTTTGAAGTTCAGTCGAAATTTGCACACATGTATTCTATATTTCAGAATTAATGAAAGAAAATATCCTAATAAATGTAAGTTGTAAAATTGTCGTATTAGATCTCCAAGCAATAATTGGAAGTAGCTATATTTCAAAAAGTAATCATTTTAGGACCTATGTTTATTGAAACTTTTTTGTTTTGAATTGTAAAATACGCTTATATGTATTATATCATATGGCAGGACTTTGAACTCGTCTTGTCTACACATTATGTGTCTTATTGTGTTTTCTTCTCTCTATTCCCCCCCCCCCTCTCTCTCTCTCTCTCTCTCTCTCTCTCTCTCTCTCTCTTCCTCTTTCTGTAAGTTTCGAAATGCAAAAACTCTTTGCGAGTGTCTACATTTTTTACTTTGTTTATTAATTCTGTCTGGTAATTTTCAGATAAAGACGCCGTAGAGAAGCGGCTGTACGTGTTGCAGCAGCAGGGCTACATCTACGCGACCGAGCCCACGTAGCGCTTGTGAAACGCGGCAGCCGAGCGCAGCGGCCGAGTCCCGCCCGCACTACCAGCCGAGCCCGTACCATTACCGCACTCGATATCGCTCTTTTTATGTAATATATTCTGCCCTATTCTGTACAAAAGGCGTTGAAAGCCGAGACCGGTGTGTATACGTCGCGACATACAATAGGCGTTCACAGATGCTTGCAGCGTTCACCGGATGTGCATTGCAAAGGTATCTTCCGAGCAAACATGTCTTGGCTGCTCACGTGTCGCAAAGTCGATTCTTTCTAAATGATCATCATGTTCAGCGTTTTTCGTTGCTATCGCAAATAGTTGTATATTTGCGATTTCGTAAAAAAGGCGAAAGAGAAGGCGAAAAAAGAGAAACTGCATCGAATACAGAAGGCAGAATAATGTTTTGCGATGAGTAAGTGCGTAAAAAGGATTATTTAGTCGATAATTTGTCCGACATGCGTCTCAAACGTAAGATCAAGTGATACGGCAAAATCATTAAACAACACAATGTGTTAGTGCAATATCATATCTGATATTTAATATATAAATATTATATATATATATATATGTATACTTTAAGTTTTTAATGCTAGAAATCAGATTTCATCTTCAGAGCAAGTTCGGAGTAACTTCAGTATCGTATCGTTCTTTTTATCTTTGACACGATTTTATCAATCTCTGCTGATATGATCGAGATCAAAGAATCCGATTTTTAATTCTCGAAACGATTTTTCTTGTATTCCAGTCTCTCTTGTAAGTGAAAAACCTACAAAAATATGAGACTACTGTTTTGTCAATACAAGAAACGTTCATCTGGTGAATGTATAGGGTATTTATGACGTCTAGTGTTCGCGCCAAATGGAAACGGGACAAAGCGGCTGACTATCTTACCGAGGCTAATTAAAAGAAGCTTTCCGTAGTTCCATACGGAATAGGGTAGATAGCGAAGAAAATGAGAGTCCGCTGCACCTCCTTGCCCCCTTCCCTTTCCGATCCTCCTTCGACTTCTCAAGGTTTCTTTATATGATTTATTAATACTTAGTACGACTAAGGTATTATAACAATTGTACACTGTACTGTATAATGTACGCATGATCGGATTAACTAATCTTTATTTCATATCGATTAATAAACATGTGTATACTACACGGCGTTGTGCGTTCAATGCAAGGCACTTGTCTCGTCGCTCTTGACCGCACTGCGATGGTGCAACAGTAACGTTGATTGTAAGAAAAAAAAGAAAAAAAAGTAAAGTAACTGACGATGGGCGTTTGATCGTCCGCTTTCCGCGAATCCCCAAGCGATTTCAGTCACTGCCTCTCTTTCTCTTTTCTTTTCTCAAATGTCCGAGGTCGTAAATTCGCGCGCAAGAATGATCGCGAGAATAGATAGGAAATGTCCAGTCGAGAAATCTAATATTTTCAAAGATGATCGATCACGTTGACTGGATATTTTTATCGATTGTTGTTTTATACCCTTGGATATTCTCGTCTTCTTTCTTACGTAATTTTTTATTACATTACGCTCGTTAACCCATCATTAGCGTTAAGCCTGTGAGATACGCCTCTTCCGAAACGCGAACTAGAAAAGCCGAGCTCCGTCTGCTCCCGCTCCCGCGCTTTCGTCTGCCTACGAAAATGCAACTTCCTTGACCTTCTCATCCGCGACCTTTTCATCGGCGGGGATCTGTTTGTTCTCCCGATAGATGAAGTAATTGACCGCCACAGCGTAAATGCTCCAGCACAAGTAGGGGATGTTGAGGTAGGCTGCGGTGGGGTTCACATCGTGGAACGTGAGTAGAAGCGCCGCCGTGTTGATGCACAACGCCGCGTTCTCGTAGAGAGCCTGCAAAAACGGTGTAAAGCGTTAGTTTAAGGATGTTGGGATCGCTCCGGACGACTGAAGCTCAATTAGCTGCCAACTGTCTAGTCTGCTTGAGTTTGCACGAGACTTTGCGACGGTCATTGCAGCGGAATCAAAGTTTATTTCTCTTCACACGCGTTAAAAATCCATATTTAAAAATCTGAGAGTTAATAATTAAAAATTATTACGGTTCCAATTTTTCAAAATATGAGTTCTGTCAGAGAATGCGAATTCGAGACTCCCTCGGTTCTTTGACTTTCGAATCAGTTTGCAGTTGCTCGAATTTTCGAGTGTTCTCGTTCACGAACAATCGGAATTGTGCGAAATAAGATCTTACACTGTGCGGAAGGAAAAGCGAAATCCAAACGATAACTAAGATCGAATATAAGATTAGGACGCGTGCACGAAGAATGTAATTTACCCATTTGATGCGTCGAGTGCCGAAGAACAGCGGCACCCACGACCAGTTGAGAATGATATTGGAGGCGTAGATGGTGAGTGGCGCACATGCTCCTTCAAAACCACCCCCGTCCCGCCACACCATGTACGACGAGTAGCCTAATGTACAATAGAAGCCGGTCCACATAGGCCCGATCGACCAGGCCGGCAGCATCCAGGACGGCTTCTTCAGGGACTGAAAAGTGCGAGCGACGAATCAAGAGGGCACGACTACGGATTACATACGTACAAAACAACTGTATTGTTATATCATTAGTGAAGTAAGATGTGTAATTTATTGTAAACTTGGGCATTTCCGCTAGAAGAAGCTGAAAGTAGGTAGACGAAGTGAGTAGGCAGGTGAGCAGGCAAATAGCTGATTTAGCTGATCCTCGCGACTCGCGCGAGTTGTCGTATCAGCGAAATACAAGTAGTTCGACAGAACGTATCAGCCGCGTGTACATGTATCACTTTATAGACGACGTGTATGTAAAGATCAGTGAAAGAATGATACGTGACTTCTTCAACATTTTCGTAACTTGATTCGCACCGATATCTTTTAGACAAGTCTGTTTCAAATATCCTCTGTATACTCGCGTGTGAGTATCTTATTACGAACGAGTGTAATTATAATTATAAATAATACGTAGCTATATATACACACACACACACACACATACATATACAACATACACACAAATATATTTATAAAGATAATTATAAATATAATGTGCAATTGTGTAAACGATTATAATTATAAGTAATATTATCCCGTTATAAGTAATGATAAATAATTATAAATAACGATAATATTACTGTGTAATCATCATCGTCGCGAGAACCAATAAATTCTTAACCCTCGTTAATAAATCCTTAACCATCGCGTGATAATTAAATGGAAGGATTAATTTGTCCTGTTGGAAAGAAAAAGTGAAAAAAAAAAATGCATCTTTCCTTTGTTGTTTAGAGTATTTTTAAGAAAGAATAAAAATCGTGGAACTGTTCACACAACACACGAAGAGAAACTCAAACCGGCTAAAGGCCGCCGGTTGTTCCAACTCCTTAGTTAGTAAGTTAACTGATAGTTAAATCATATGTTTATCTTTATCTTTCCTTCAACTTAGATTAAGACAGACACATGATTTAACTATCAGTTAACTTACACCAAGGAGTTGGAACAGCCTGCCCTGAAACTTGAGTTCGATGAATCCTGATGGTGTAGCGAGAGTTAAAAATAGACACTGCATTTCCTACAGAACAGTATTCCGTGCTTCGTTAATGATATATCTGCTGATGTCTCAAGATATCATAAAGCATCGTTTGCAACAGGAGATTTCTTCTGAGATTGAGCTCGCGAATGCGGGAAACATGCATATGCATCAGTACAAAGTATACACTGTTGTCTCGTTGTACAGTACGGAATATAGAGAAGTGCTACTGATTTCTCACAACTCCCAACGTAGGAAGGAGATAGTAAATCGCAAGATTTACACAACGTTGTGCCATATCATGCTTCGCGTATCGATTCGTTCGTAATCGTCGCGCGCGACCTTCGCGCGATGAACCTATGATGAATCATTCGTACAAGCTCGTTATTAAAAACAGGAAAAACTGTATTTACAAAGTTTCCAATGTACCATCTCGGTGGCAGAAATAGCAATCGAATACCTTCGTTTACATTATCGCTTATATTTACGATAACGTGACCATGACACATTCGCGGCACCAAGCCGTCGCGGCTCGTTCGACCCGCTCTTTCGTTCCGCTCGTAAATCCTCACCTCGAACCAGTGGATGTTTCTCTTTACAAAATAACCAGTGGTGACGGAGCCGAAGTTGGGGATGGCAGTCGCCATCACCGCGGGCCAATTAATATTCACTGGCATCTCGTCCTGCTGCAAAATATCACGCTATGTTGCATTGATGCCACCTCGTTGGTACCTTCTTAAAAATTTAAATTAAAAATTTAAATCGCAAGGTGGAACACCTGCGTTCGATCGGGAACATTTCTAATGTGCTCCGAAAACTCTTCTTTTGTCGAAGCAATCAATAAAGCAAGTGAAAAATCAACACGACAAAATCATGAGAGAAGACAGCTTCAAAGAGAACGTTGCGTATATCACGTTACTTTTGCAGTTATTTATCGATTGTTGGAGCAAAGGGAAAGTTTTCGGGGCATTTTGGAAGCGTGCTCGATCGATGATCGCAAGTGTCATTTTACGAATGTATCTTTTTGTCTCGACGTAATACGTAGAAATTTTTATAGATTTCCTCGCTTCTCTCTGACGTCACCGATCAAGAGTTTCGCGCCGAGAGATGAAGAGCCTCAACTTGCCGCTGTTTGGTCACGTTAATTTTCGGAGCTACCTCGAGCTACCGACAAATAACGTTCACGGTAAGGAATAAAAAGCATCTACCTGCGCAAGTTGATTGAGACGGAACGTGGAGTATTCCTCGCACTTTAAAACGCACGTCCGCGCAGAACGTCGATGAACGTACTGGCCGTCCGTCTGCTAAGCAAGCGGTTTGTGACACTACGACTGCAGACTGCAGATCGTAGCATCGATGCAACTACAACAGTGACGTAGCTACCGTTCTAAGTTCCTTCCTCTGCTTCGTTGACGTTTTCTCCTCCTCTTCAATCGAATCTCCGGAGCTTTTCAGCTCTGTAGGTTTTGTTTGTCAGGCAGCCCGATCATAGCGGAAATCAATTCCGATATTTTTCGGTTCGCACGCGACAAATAACATTCTTAGTAATAAAATAAAAAAAAAAAGAACGTTGACGCATAACATGACGCAAAAGATGAAAAAAATTATCAGGATTACGTTATTCAGTGTCTTGCAAGAAAAAAGAACAGCTGTTTTGATATTTTAATAACAATAATAATAATAATAATAATTTTAAAGTTCCCAAAAATTCCTCGAAGTCAATCATGAATTTCGTTTCTCGATCGTTGAGAAATTGATCGGTCGATGCAGTTATGATGCGTTATATAAATGTGATAACAAATTGAAAAATCTTTTTCCAATTACGTTACTTAGGAAATTACGATAACTTCATCGCGGATAATTCGAAAGAATAAAACGGGGGGAGGGGGAGAGGTAGGAATCGCGAGTCCTCGCGAGATAGCACGACAGGTTTTGAAATGAGGAGTCCGCACGAGACATGGCATACATATGTATACGTATATAAGTTTTACTATCACCATTGTGTGTTACAAATTGAGCGTACAGTACATTGTATACTCGACCGCCGTCAAGTGTACGTCGATGAGGCGCATTTTCGCGCCTACGTGTGATGTGGATGAAAGTGCGAGAAAAAAAAACAGAAAAACATAAAGAAAAGGAAAATTAGCGAGTCGATAAGGAGCGACTAACTACCTAACAAATTCCGATTCTTCGCGTGCTACTACATTAGGCGGCTCGGTTCACGCTTTATTATTTACACACATGCGTCTCAATAAATACATCGACAGCGCAACAACAACCATTATGATACAGAAGCACCGTATCTCGCCCAAGTTCTTTTTGCGCAATAAGAAATGATATTTTCTTCCGAACGATTGTTGATCATCATCGCGCGTATGATCAGAGTTTAACGCGACATTCACTGTATACAGAGTAAGTCAGTGAAAACGAAATGCTGAAATGCACGTGATTCCTCGGCTGGGAAGTGCGAAGAAATGCGTAGAACACAACACGTGCGCTCTTTCGAAAGACGAAGAATGTATTTCCTTTTTCATCTCTTTTCCTTCAGAGTCGGCGAAAAGGAACTCGTCTGCCTTTCGGCTGTTTCTACGTATTTCACATATGTTCCCATATTCGAGGAAAACATCGTCGTGTTTCGTTTTCTATCGACTGTTGCCCTGTATTTGATATAACACATCACTCAATAAGTTCGTAGGATGACATATAAATGGCGCTACTATTGACAAATCCATATGATTTTTAGGAAGTACTAACCTTCAAATGATACGTGTCAAAATTTCATGACAATCGGACGTTTAGTTCACAAGTTACAGTGGTTTTAGTGACGCACGACGTCGACTCGTTTTAGCAAGGTTTCAGTTTCGGCAATCTTCTTCATTGGAGCCAAATCTCTTTCCCTGGAGCTTTCCCTGTCGATTTGACTCCGGAGTGTAGTGATGGATCCAAGTTTCATCTATTGTCACATGCCGCATCAAAAAATCCTTTTTATTGCGCTGAAACAGCTCCAAACAGCCCGCTAAATCGTCGACGCGTTGCTAAAACGAGTCGACGTCGTGCGTTACTAAAACCACTGTTACTTGTGAACTAAACGTCCGATGTTCATGAAATTTTGACACGTATCATTTGAAGGTTAGTACTTCCTAAAAATCATATGGATTTGTCAATAGTAGCGCCATTTATATGTCATCCTACGAACTTATTGAGTGATGTGTTATATATATATATATATACTTGTAGAACAACTACGTAATTTACAAACATGTGCGTATGTATATATATATATATATATATATATATATATATATATATATATATATATATATATATATATATATATGCGAATGTATGTGTACGCAACTTGACAAAAGAAAAAGAATCAAAGAATATTCCCAATGTTTTTAGTCCTTTTTGCTTCATTCAGATCGTCTGCGCGTACGTGTTTCGTATATATATATATGCATTTAAGTTTTCGCGCAAATAAATTAACCCGGCTTCAATCTTTTATCAAATCGTTTGATGCTGATACGCAAATCACTATCGTGATGTAGCATAATAGTTAAATATTAATGTGACTGAAAATAAATGCGTATGTTTGTGATATAGTCCAAAGGAAAATCATATGCAGAATGTCTTGGAATAATCGGGTCGAACTACGACGATCCTATGATTGTCTCGGAATCGATTTTTCTCCCCAAGGGGAATATATTCAAATTGTTGCTCAAAATTATTCAACAGTCTTTTTGTCAAATGGATTACATGTTTCATTTTTACGAAAATATGAAAGTGAAAAAGAACTATATATATCCTTCTTAATTAAAATATTTCGGTGGTTTTAAAACTATCGAGTAATTTGATTGCGTATTCAAATTTAGTATAACATTTTCTATAAGGAAAAGTTCGAATAAGTCATGTGACAAGAAGCCTGCGTTGTCTTGGAATTTGGCGATTTAAAATAAGAAATTCATAATAGTGCAAAGTAAAAGATAAAGGAATGGAGAACAATATTTTAGTTTGTTACTAATAGGAAGACAGCGAGAAAAACTTTACTTTTTCCCAGAAAGAATCGACTCAAAACTTGTGGCGAAATTTATCATCACAAGTTCGTTTATTTCAGGACAGCCTGTAGAAAGAGCGTTCCTGCGATAGAATACTTGATGATGAACTTTATTCGAGATCATAGTCGAAGACAATTCACGTTGCGTTTGAAGTAACTTGAATGTGTCGTGCTTTCGATTAATTTGTCTGTTTATTATTCGTTTTCATACGCGCGGTTCGATCGCAACAAGAACATGATAAAGAGAAAAAGAGAAGTACCTTTTGTTACGTTAGAATAAATCGGCACCAGCACCATATACAGCATAAGATTCATCTTCTTTAATTCTTATTTTTAGTTCCTCGTTATAATCCAGCTTCTATAGCCTAATTGTGCCTCTCACCAGCCGATCAACCAGAAGTACCATGCCTTCTTCTTTTCTCTCACTTGTTCTTCTCATTCTTGTTTTCCTTATCGTGCGCGTTTCCTCCCCTGGACGCAAACAGATAGTCCTTGACTCGTTCCCGGCGTTTTTGAGGGATTACCATAATGGTAGTCGTGATGTTGCCTAGAAACAGCACTAGGAACATTGCGCTAAGCACTGGTACATGCCACGTAGCTTCTGGGTGGAACGTCAATTTATATAACGTATATGCGTTATATAATTGAAATAAGTAGCCAAGAAAGAGGAATGGTAGCAAAAACGAAAGGCCACGCCACATCCACGAGTGGAATCCTTCGATGGTAATATCCATGTTATCTCTCTCGCCCAGTGCTTTTAATCGGTAGAGGACGCCGCGTTGGTACCGAAATTGTAAATATTGAACTACGCCTGAATAATTATGCACATGTTAGATAACATTATAAATTATAATTAATTAATTACAATCAAGTTCAACCAAATCTACATGATCTCATTATTTCTCTCTCCTTGGTTTAATAATTTACATCATATATAGAAGGGATTCATATTTCATCAAAAATGATTTTGATCTTACAGATATTATTATACTGATAATTTTGCATTAATATTACAGGAAATTATGTACAACTTACTGATGTATACGTTGAACCACATGAACTGGCCACGGAACTTGTACCATGCTCCTGTGTTGGGCCATACCAATAAAACACCAGACACCACAGTCGAGAGAAAGTGATGGAATCTCCACCAGCCTTTAATTCTTGAACCATTCACCTTAAGTATACTCTCCCTTATCGTTAGTGTGCAGTAGTACCAAACCAGGAGGAACATAAAACTAAGTTCTAAAGTTCTGAGAAATTCAAGCAAAAATAATCTTCTTAGACAGAAAGTAATGCAATTAACATATATTTATATATACATCGATGAGATCTCACCTTATATTAGTAAACAGATTTAGCACAGACAGAATAAATCCAATTACTGATAGAACTAATTTAAACTTCTCATACTCATCTTTGTATTTGAATCTGAAAGCAAGTGTACACATATCATGAAATCAATTCAGATATATGTATCAGTTGTAATTATTAACAGTGACATACTTATCACTTTTATTTAATATGGAGACATTGACGTTGCCCAAAATAATTTGGAGGTATGTGCCGTTTGACTTAGGCAAAGTTTGTTCTATCTCATGCAGTTGCTGTTCCCTTCTCATCATAGATTTTTGCATCTTCTCTTGTGCCTCATTCATATTTAAACTGAAAACAGATAAAAGCAACATGTATCATTGTTCTGCATACTCTTGTTTCAAAAATTCAATTATCTTTCTCAAATACTCGCTAAATAAAGATAAAGTACATACAATCCTTTTTTTAAAGAATTTAACTAGTATTACAAACTTACTTTTTCATGGATTTGGATATTATACCCATCCTGTATTTCTGATGGGAAACACCTTTTACACATTTTGCTTGTAGTTCACCAACCTCTTCTAATTTTGCAAGATATTCTCTATTTAGTGCCTAAACATATGGAAAAAAAAACATTAATTAATATTAAGATGCAAATTATTGCACCAACAATTTTGCTTGATTACTGATTGATGAATAAATTACAAGTTTAATTTGAAAATGCCTATTTAAATCCCTAACGCCCTACCAATGACTTTTACTAGATTTTTCTCTAAATTTTTTATTTTTATTTGATATAATCGATTAAAGTAATCGCACAAAATAGCCGATGAATATTTTCGCAGACTACTGAAATGCATCGTTATTCCAATATATATATATATATATATATAGTTCGGCATTATCCATAGCTGAAAAATTCGAATGTCCCGAGCATCCTTTCTTGCTCGTAATTTATCGATTTATCGTAAAAACGGGACGATCTTCAAGGTCGTCCACAATGTCACGTGATGTACGAATAAGCCGATCAGCCGAAAACGTTTTCCGGTTAAGCGTATCACGAAAACGTCAGGAACCTAACCTCGCCGCGAAACCTGGCTGATTCGCCTGTCGGGCTCAGATGTGGTGCATTTCTCTCACCTCGAGCTCCTTGTAGTCTTGTGCTAGATCGTCCCAGTCTTTGACACAAGATTCGGCATCGATGTCCATCGCGACAACGAGCATCTGACGGGGTTCAGTCGGAGAACACGTCTGCCTCGATGGGCGCCTCTTGAGTCTTGATCTCCTTTTCTCTCTTTTTCTTCCTCTGTTGCACTTACACGTGCACTTTCCGCACTCGAGCTGGAACGTAATGAAGCTAGCAACAGAAGCAGAGGCGCGAGAGAGTGTAGGAAAGTTCAGATAATAAAGGCGCGCGGTAAAACGCAATGCGATACAGTTGCGGCGTAGCGCACATCGAATATACGTTCTCGAGTGGTAACGAGTTGTAAGAATGCTGCAAGAATGCTGCGAGGAAGAGCGAGAAGGAGAGAATGAAAAAAAGAGAGGAGGCGGATACAAAGAGCAAAGGGCGTTCGACGTGCCTGATAACGATCGATGACCGATAAGAAACGATCGGAGTGAAATATTCTGCTCGTGACTACGCGCCACATACGTTGAATATCAAATTGGAATGGATTAGTCGCACTTTCGACATTCTAAACGGGACTGCGAGATGTCTGCGAAAGCGAGAAGGAGAAAGAGGAGATATGATCGAGTACAGAAAGTGCAAATGATGCGAACGTATCGTCAGATAAAATCTGCTCTTTTTATCTATATATTTTCTTTGCTTCGCCGTTATATTGATCCTTACGCGCTATTGTCCTTTTTATACATTTGTTTTAGTTTGTACACGGAAATAGTTTTAATATAGCGCTATTAAAAAGAACAGAGCTCTCAACGCGTCATTTCGCGCTTCATTTGACAATATCGACACTCGATCGATTCTCGAGCGATCGTCAAGACAGACACACATCGATAGCTCGCAATTTAATTGCGGATTCAAAATTGCGATGACATGAGGCGAATAAGTAAAAAATAAATTCGTTTTATTCGTTATTTCTCCGTATTTTTCTCATATTTTTGCGCTCCTCTCTCCTTTCTCCCTAGTCGCCGTTTAATTATGCGTCTACTCAATCCTAAACCAGCTGATATGTATATCGTAAATATTTTCCAAAGTTTGATATACACGCACGTATGTTTGTTTATGTAACCTCTTTTTGTTATTTAATATGACTTTCAGATCCGGAGAATTTACATATTCACATTTTAGGTTTTGCTATTTTCTTTGCGATACGTCAATTTCTTTTGGAATACGAGACAAAAAATAAAATCACGCCGAAGCAATACCATCGAGCCTGATAAAAAAAAGAAGGTGACGCGTCAATCGTTGATTCGTTTAGAATAAATTTCGTGCATCTCGATGTATATTTGATGTATTTCCTCTTTGTTCTGGACGGATCGTATTTTGACATTCAGGTTGTTTCTCTACATTATTTATAGGTAGTCGGGTCTACGTGTCGGGTACCACTTCTGGATTTCTCAGAGAGAGAGAGAGAGAGAGAGAGAGAGAGAGAAAGAGAGAGAGAGAGAGAGAGAGAGAGAGAGAGAGAGAGAGAGAGAGAGAGAGAGAGAGAGAGAGAGAGAGAGAGAGAGAGAGAGAGAAAGAGAGTTCTCTTAGTCTCCGTTATCCACAATCTTTCCTCCTACGATCCTGTTTACTAGGCAAACAGCATCGGAAAGCCCAACGATTAACATGTTTGGAGGAAAGTACAGAGTATCTTAGTATTTCGATGTTAATTGGAATGCTTTGTACTATTTGGAATATGTTTTGTGAAAATACTCCACTTATCGCATTTTTAGCAGGAAATTGTTACCGGACAGATTTTCGGAGCACTCGAGCACCTCACGATCCCGATCCCGATAAACGGAATATTCACAGAATGTGAAGTCTGGACGAACAGGTCTCGTAGGTCTATGACACCTTGTGTGATGCTCCAGCGGGAATCCATTCGCGCAAAGGGTTTGATCGTATCTTCAACCGGAACGCGAAGGGGTCGTTGTTCTAGATAACGGCATGCCTAAAGAACGGTATTCGATCCCCTGATGGTTACGAACTCACGGATCCTCTTGCGGAAAAGGTCATCGCGATCGCATCGGCTACGCTGCGCTGCATTGTGCTGCGCTACGTTGCGCTCCGCCCCGCTTCGTTTCCTTCCGGTCTCGCTTTCCTGTTTCGTACGGCCCGCAGGCCGTACACCAGGAAGCTGGGAGTGCGAAGCAGTAAAGTTCGGGTTGCTCGTCAGACGAGTTCAGATTAGCTTGACTCGATTCACGTCTCCGGCGCGTCTTGTCGGCGAGCGACTTGTCAGGTCGCGCAATTTGTGCTACGGCACATCGGGCATAGGTCCAGAGAGTGCCGGGAAAATTCGTGCGCGAATGTCAGTTCGTAGACGCACAGCGGCGCACGAGGAGGTGCCTCCGTAGGTTCCTCGACAGTGCCCTTGTAGAATCTCGACAAATTTTTATTCAGCTTGCCGCGCGAGTCCGCCGAAAAATATTCTCACTATTGGTTCGATTTTATCAAATTTCATACTCGTTTCATCTTCGATTGCACTTGCACACGTATCTTGACGCTGATCAAATCAACACTTGCAGAGGAAGTCCGTTCGCTTTTTCGAGAAGAATTTCAACGTTGCAAAAATTCCATTGTTTTCCCAATAAACAGGTGGAAAAATTAATTTCAGATCAGGCGAATCGACGAATCGAAATTACAAGTGGAAATTTTACGAACTGTGAAACTCGTGTAAATTTAAAATGATATCCACGTTTGAGAGACACTGGACTGAAGGATAGCGTTTTATCGTTAACGTAGCACTTTCGAGATTGCGATTTCGGTCCGGTCAATCGACGCAGTCGCTCACTCGTTAGAAAGTGCATCGGTTTCTGCGATTGCAGTCAGATCAGCACATTCGCCTCGCAGCATGTATCGTTCCATTGACCGTGAACGGGTTTCGTGTTCGTCGGTGACGACGAGAAACGCTACGCGTTCGTCTCGTCGTCAGCGAAAGATAAAGCTCTTTACAATTTGTCGCGCTTAAGTGCACGTTACCGTATTATTGTTTTCTTCTTAATTACTTTTATCTGCCGCGACGATTCCGCGCTTGCACGACGCGCGAAAGAATGCATGTGTTGAGTTATTATAGCGGCACGACGTTCGATGGCACAAGCGTAAAAACAGCTCGGTGGTGCGGCCAAGTGCAGCGCGACGAAGCGCACGAGATAAAGCAGCGTGGACTGTTAAGTGGAAAAAGAAAGAGCGCACTTTCCCACGTGGAGTAAACGTGTACAAATTTCTTCGCAGGAGCATCCCTTTGTCGTAGAGACGCCACGAGGAACGCGCGAACGTACCGATCGACAAATCGTACAAAGCGCGATATATCGCGTACATCGTCAAATACTCATTGTTACTTAACAACAAGATAAAAGAGTCGCCGGGAGATAAGCGAAAAAGCAAGTCCTCATCGCGATCGTGCGATCTGGATGGATAAGTAGTAGTTATTTATCGGGCGCTTTGGCCAAAGAGAAAAGTCCCGTGGAGCGTACGACGAACGACACGGTGCAAACGTCAACAGACGATATAAATGCAAAACGAATCCCGAGCGGAGGTAAAAAAGAAAAGAGTACGACCGAGCGAACGAACAACATGGCATTAGCGACACGCGCAAACGAGCCTGAAGCAAAGTATAACCGACAGCTTCGATTTCCAAATAAAAATCTCGATAAAAGTGTGCGACAATATTTGTGTTTATACACGGAATATGTAATAGACAACGTCCTCAGTGTCGTTTTGGAAACCGAGGAGAACGTTAATTAAGGTGATTAGAGAGAGAGAGAGAGAGAGAGAGAGAGAGAAAAGTGTACGATTTATACAACTGATGACATATAATTAATAATTATATATCTACTCGGGTATATATATAATTATTAGTTAACGGTATCAGCATCATTATTTTTCAAGAACAGTCTTACGTAATGTTGTAAAATTGAAGGGACGCGATAATTAGAGAGACAACTCTGAATCGGAATGAAGGTCAATGTGAGCCGAACGAACGTAGGATGATAATACAATGAACCAGAACAATCTCTTGATATCTTCCCTCGTCGGTTTATATGAGCAATAATAATTTCGTTCTGCGTTGAGATTATTTGCAAGAGGACCAATCGACCAATGCATGTCGAGAGAAAAAGAAAAAGAGCAGAGATGAGAGAAGAAACGCTCGCGCGTTGGGCTCGCATCGGCCTTTAGTTCGTTCAAGTTTGGTCGCGCGGTAAGTTCTTCAACGACCGATGTGATTTCTTTGCCCTATAGTGGAACTTCCCGTAGCCGGCTTGCCGGAACCTCCTCGTATCTTGTCCGTTGTCGCTGCGCCAAGATGCACGTGGTACCCAAGGTCGCGCGGAGAAGCTTACCGAGCCTACACGACACCCCGCTCTGGCAAACATCACGCAGCTTCCTGTTAGGACATTTGGCGCCCGCCACGTTGAGCAACAAGGACACTGCCGCCTGTCCGACAGCGGGGAGGAACGCTGGAAAGGGAAATGACATTTTATCATCACGAACGTACACGAGTGACTTTAATCACATGACGAGGAGAGAACCACCGGAGCCGCGAGGACTTCCGCTCGTCGGCACGATGTTCTCCTTGATTATGGCCGGCGGCGGGAAGAAGCTGCACGAGTACGTGGACAAACGGCACCGACAATTAGGCCCGATCTACCGCGAGAGTATTGGACCGGTGCGCGCAATCTTTGTCAACTCACCCAACGAATTCCGGCGGATCTTCCGGCTGGAAGGTACCATGCCGCGTCACTTCCTGCCGGAGTCCTGGTTGCTCTATAACGAGATCAGGCAACAACGCCGAGGACTACTCTTCATGTACGTTCCTCTCCTGAAATTATTTTTCTATCAAATATGTTGTTTAATATATAATATAATATAAAATAATATATTTTCGTACATATCTTTAAACTTTAATACATAAAATCTCCCTCTCTCTCTTCATATAATTTCTTGATAAGCTATTTTTTACATAATGAAACAGAGATATGTTACGTGGCTATAAGTATTCGCTGTATTCGAAACAGGGACGGAGAGGAATGGCTGTACTACCGCAGGATCCTTAACAAGCTGATGCTGATGCCTAATTCGGTAGACTTGATGTGCGCGCCCTGCCAACAAGTCGCCGAGAGTCTCACGGAGAAGTGGAGAATCGAGAGTCGTGACGGTGCAACGATCAGGGATATGAAGAATCAGCTTTATCAATGGTCCATAGAAGGTAACATCTTCGTTTTATACTTGAACGACATTAAATGTCCCAGTAGTGTTGAGGTCTTTCTTCTTTTAGTGATGCTGGCAATTCTCATGGGCTCACGGTGGCCGGATTGCAAGCAGCAGATGGCCTCCAGGTACGAGCATTTGGCGCTGATGCTGCACCAGGTCTTTGAGCAATCGGTTGTGTTATCAATGATGCCGGCCAAGCTGGCGATGCAGCTGAGACTGCCGATCTGGAAGAAATTTGTCACGACTGCTGATACGATCCTGGACATGGTGCGTGTTATGGTGCCGGAATTGTTGCAGTTAGGCGGCGACGGTTTGCTGTCGCTGATGGTGAACGATGGCATTCGCGGCAATGACGCCATTAAAATCATCGCGGATTTCATCATAGCTGCTGGCGACACGGTGCGTTTCATTCATTCTACTTCTGCGATTTGACACTTTTCTGGTTTTATTATCATACATATTCAATATTATTCGTATCGTAATTAATTATACCACGATGAAAGGTCCTCTCTCGGAAAGGTCTTTGAAAAAGTTTTTCCACGATTATAAACGGCAGCCAACAAAGGATACAATTTTCATTGTTCATGTGTGTCGGTTTGAAGCTGAGAGAAAATTTGGAACTTGGAACTTTCCGAAGAGAATCCTTCACTACCGTAATTAATTACGACTAAACGACCAAACGTTTCATTTTATATTACCATTTTATATTCCTACGTAATTTTAGTCAGCGACTTCCATGCAATGGGCGTTGTTGTTGCTCAGCGGTCGTCCCGAGCTGCAAGACCAGTTGTTTGACGGTATCAAAGACCTGTCACCGGAGGAGACCATGCAGCATCCTCTGCTAAAGAACATATTGAGAGAGACGCTGAGGATGTATCCCGTTGCGCCGTTCCTCACGAGATACTTGGCGGCGGACAACTTGATCGGCGATTACTTCGTGACGAAGGAGGTAACCATAAATATAAGCTGTAAGATAAAAGCGAAGTAGCGTTGTGAGTAACGGTCTTCTGATCTCAAATGATGGAATGCACTGTGGCTACAATCTCTGGCAGGTACAGAGCTCTTCTCGATATGGAGAACCAGTATATTGATGATTACGTTTTGTTTTCGACGCAGGACTTGTTGATCCTGTCGATTTGGTCGAGCGGCCATAACGCGGAGCACTTCCCGCAGCCAGAGGAGTTCCAGCCGGAGAGATGGATCAGAATAGAGTCGGGTGGTTATCAGGGCGTCAATCATCCGTACGGCATGTTGCCGTTTGCGCTGGGTGCGAGAAGCTGCATCGGACGTAAACTCGCGGAAACGCAAATATACCTTACGCTGGCGGAGGTGAATCATCTCGCTTGTCACATCTGTGTGAAATCGTAAAATGAATTTAATGTGTTAAACTCTATATATTATAATGATGTGATATGATGTATTGCATTTGATACATATCGCATTGTTGCAGTTGAACAAGAACTTCAGGATCGACTGCAAGAATCGGGACCGCATACAAATGATCCTGAACTTGGTCGCCGTGCCCTCGGAACCTATTATATTAAAATTGACAAAAAGGTAAGTGTTCGGATAATTGATATTCAGCTAATCAATTGAGTTGAGGTGATTTAATGGACGAACCGCGCGAAAATCCGGTTATTGTTGACAATGTGACGCGAATCAAATCGAGCTCTATATTATTTTACTTACTATTTATCAGGCGCTCGCATGCATGTGTAAAAGGTATTATATACACACATCACGACAAATGTGCGTGTATAATATTATATAATATATATAACTATATATTTTACAAGATATTTTATAAGATTTACAAGTTTTATATATAAAACATTTTTTTAAAACAGTTTGATGCAGTTTGAAACGCAACCGATAGTCCAATAAGAGTACTTCTGAGAATTGATGAAACAAGTGTTCTCATTGAACGATCGACTACGTTCCGAATTTCATAAAAAAAGAAATAAAATTTTTATTCAGACCATGGAGTGAAACCAAGTGTGCGTTACCTAACAAACATATATGTATGTCAAGCGCATAAACAAATATATGCTTTTCTTATCTGACCGTTATTCGTCAGTGTGCGATTCTCGTGAAGAAAAAGCAGTACTTTCGTCGATCTTTTAATGTATAAATCTTCCATGTTATCTTCTTTTAACATAATTCAAGGAAATAATTTTAAATGCTTTTACATATTATGACGATAGTTTTTGAGATTAAATTAATATTATATCGATGCATTTAACACATAATTCAAGACAAGTTTTGTTCCGAAAATTCTTTAATTGACGAGTATCGGAATTAACAGTGAGTTTTCAAAATGTTTTTAACTATTTATTTAATACATTAGGATATCAAGCGGATTCGATTGAAAAAAACGATTCACACACGTCAGTCAATGTCTAGTTATAATGATTTTCTTTGCATGTAGAATGAAGAATATGACACAGCACTTGAAGTTTCGATATGCGCGTATACGCATGTCCATTGTTCTCAAAAAACTTATATTTTATAATCTCAAATTGTTACTTCATTGACATCAGACTAAAGCTCTTTCATAACGATCTGACGCGGTATTGTGGTGTGAATGAATCGATCTTAATTTCCCAAATATAACGAAATCAAGGCATGTCCAATATTATAACGAATAAATGCAACTTTTAGATATGTTTGTTGAATTTTCATTTAAACGTCGAAAGAGAAAAAATTAATGTTAAGAAAAGTCTGATATGCGAAGGAAGCCACTTTGAGATGTATATCGATATTATTATCAAGATGTAAAACAACAATTAAGATGTGTCCAATATTATAGCGAATAAATGCAAGTTTCAGATATGCTCGTTTAATTCTTTTTGAACATAGAGAATCAATGTTAGAAATGAATGTCAGTCTGTGATAAAGGAGCAGGCTTGATATAACAATATATCAATATTGTTATATCATATGTCAATATATGATATATCAATATTATCATAAAGATAGTCATTTGGTGGCCTTTTATGGCGCTTACACAATGGGTGCTTCGTACAATAAAACTCTAAAAATTTAAAATATGTCGTATCGTATGTGCGCGCGCGCGTGTATGTGTGTGTGTGTATGTACGCGCGCGTGTGAGATACAGTGGAACCCCACCGTTACTGCGGGTTAAGATTTAAAAATTTCATAATTTTTATTTCCGTCAGTGCATATATACAAATGCTTCAAGCACATGTATGCGGCCGTTAGGAATACATCTCTGATGTGTTTAGTATAGTTCACGTAGTATATACAGCATTAACATAGATACAATATCGTTGTGAATACACATAATCGTTCGGCAATTTGCACGGTTTCGCGGGTAATGAGAAGTCCATTAAAATGGACAAATGAACTGTAAACCGTAACGATCAGTTTACTCGTCCGTGTCTTTTCTCCCCAGAGACCGTTTCAAATGTTTAGATACATTCAGACCAAGACAGGATCGTAAAACTCTTAACCTGACGTTGTGTCCGAAAATGCTCGTGCACGTTTCTTTTTCTTCCCTTTTATACGTTCACATCTTACGAGATACAACAGACTTCATCTATATATAAATAAATATTAGTAAAAAGCCTTAAATAGATATTAAATAGTCTAATGTACAATTTCTTGGGTTCTTGGGGTTTCTCCCCGAGTAAAATAAGCATTGTCAAATCAGAGGTCAAAAGAATGTTAATCTTAAGAGAGACGACCTTTTCCTATTAAAAACTTTAATTCCCACGGCTGCGTTTAGAAAGCACAACGGTCGAGCGGACGCTCACTGTCATCGGAAAGTTCTCCTAGATCTTATCACAAACCTAAAAGTACATCTCACAATCAGAGGCAACGATCACTCAATGATTGCACAACCGCTGTGCTTTCCGAGCGCACCCAGTGACTTTTGGCCGATCATCCCGAACGATTACGTTACATGTATTATAAGCGATAAACAAATCTATTCTACAAATCGAATGACCGCCGGACGCGCGTCGGTCGCGCGTCACACGATTGCACATATGTATTCCGGATTCACCGGGATCTAAGGTTGGCACAACACGTCCATAATAATTTCCCGGATGTCGCATAGAAATTCCTCGAAGGCGTCCATCACGGAGAAGTCGCAGAACGCTTGTATGGCTTGACCGTTCGTCATGTCCGCGGTGAGGAAAGTTTTCACACAGCAGGAACGGAGCTCAGGGCAGGCATTGGTCCTGGCCCAGCACCAGGCGCGACTAAAGTTCTCATAACTGAGCTCGGAGACCGAGCTGTCGGTGAGAGCGTCCGACAGGTCTGGCATGAGGAATTTATCAGCTAACAGCACCGCATCTAACATCGATTCGATGCTGCAATGCTTGTACGCGGCTCCGGTCGCCGCGAGTATCAGGGTATTAAGCCCGTCCCGCGAGGCGTTCCTCAGTCTGACTCGTCGTTTGCCAGACTCGCTAAAGTTGCCCTCCAGCATCGCGGAGAAGGCGTCTGAGCGTTGGCAAAGAACACGTCTGCAGGCGTCCACGGATGTACCGTCGTCCAGCTCGAACGTCACGATCGGCAGCGGCTGCGGGTTGCTGTTCTCGAGAGAATAGTCGCGAAACAGACCGCTCGCGGTTATCGGGCACTTCTCCACCGTTTCCGGGCGCACCCGCAGCGACACCGCCAGCCGGCAGATCGACCAGACCGCTCGTTCATGCAGCTCGTGCATCGGCTCGCTCAACAAACGGAGTATCATCTGCAGTCCACCGTGGTTGTGCAACAGCGACCTAAGAGTGACACGCGATTGCACGATGAGGAACGGTATCGAAACCGCGAAGATCAACTTGTGCCGTTCTTCGCCGCGCAGCAGCACCGATGACAACTGACCGATGGCACCGCCGGTCTCTGCCACTTCGCGCAAGTGCTGCAAGTACTCTTCCCGTTCTGGCATGCCATGCGTGTCGAACACGAAACCCTGCTTCAGCAGCGGTATGAAGTACGTCGCGTTCCTGTGAACGAAAGGACGCCGTCAGAGAGTTACGTACTAAGCACGAAGAGATGAGAGAACGGCAACCTGGCGCAGGCACTTTCTTGTTGATCGTTCTTACCGCACGATCGTGTTTAGTATCGTGATGGCTTTCTCATTTTTCGTACGGTTTATGTAAATTAACAGGGACTTGATGGTCATGGGCTCGGCCAGTCTATCAATGGGTTGGGGAAGCAAACTCATTCTATACAACAGCATCAACACCGTGGAATCGCAGAGGACCCCTTTGCTAGACTTCTCAGAGTCGCGTGAGTTGTCCGCGTTGACGGTCAGGGACTTGCAACTCTTCAGGGAATCCGCTTCTTCGTCCTGCGGCTCTGCAACGAGATCACGTAGAATTACAATATAAAACTCATACATGTTCTTTTCTGCAGCGCAGATAAATTCATGCTTTGAAATTTTCCGCTATATTTTTCTCTCTTTCTCAAACTTTGTCGCTCGCGTCGCTCATGAATCTAAAAGGTTTCGCTACTCGTATTAGTGACAGTTTCTCACCTTCGTCGTCGCCCCATTCTGTATCGCTGTAAACCGGGCTATAATTATCATCCCCGATATCAGTCTCCATCATGGAATCATAATAGAGTAACGGCGGTGTGCTAGGTGGCGACGAGGAAACGCTAGTGGAGCTTCCTGGACTTGAGTCACCATCGAAACGGTGCAAGGTATAGTACCTGCTATACCTGTAAAATGTAATACAATATAATGCAACGCAGTGCAAGATAATACAATCTAATAATACAATTCAAGCCAATTAATTAGACAATTATTGTGAAATATTTTTTTTCTTTTTTTGAATTTTTGCAGCTCTTCGAATTATACTTACTGTTGTATCATAAAGTACACATAATGCTATATGTGTAACTATAAAAAATACTCACCTGCCCTCGCTGATCCGACTGTACTTCCGACAAGGTGTGGAGCCGTAACAGCGTTTGTTCGACATGTTGCTATTATTAATAGGGCTCAAATCGCTTGCTTCGTCAGCAACCGTAGTATCGGCGACTGAATCCGACAGTTTCGTCATCAAGACCTCTAGCAGGCCGTGTTTCGCCAATGTGACGATGCTGTTGTCACAATATGCGAACTGCAAGAGGGCGTCCAGGAGCATGGGGTGATACTTTTCGAGCTCGGGTTGCTTCAGCAGCATCACGAACACCTCCAACCCGCCAGCAGCCTTCATTTTCAAACGGTGCACGGATTCTTGGCAGAACAGGCATAGGGTAACCAGTACTTGCCTGGATAGTTCACCATCCGTGCTGCCATTTCTAGTGAGAGTTATAAGCAGTTCCGCGGCACCTAAAGTACCTAACACTAACCGACAGCCCGTTAACAAGCAAAGACTACAAAGGCACTTAATGGCCAGGTTATTGCCATTTCTGCAGCACCGTATGAGAGTCTTGTAACCCTGTTTGTCTTTGTCCGCCTCCATTTGCGCGCTGCAACGCACAAGGTCAGCGATCTCGTCTTGTGTGACGAGGAACGTGCACATGGCTTTGAGACATACGTCTACAAGCTCTGCATACTTAGTGTCCACATTTGCTTTTTCTTTGGCCATGACAAATAACTGGGCAATCAGTCTGACTGCCTGTAATTGTAAAATCTGCTCCCTGCTACCTTCATAAATACTCCAAATGTTTCTGCAATTATTAGAACAGTAAATGTGAGACATGACAAATAAATAATTGGCAACAAACATTTTCTTTCTTACCTTATAGCTCTGATAGCCATTAAATAAGTTTGCCTATTTGTTTTTAACTTTAAAAACATTGTTAATGGTTCTACTACTCCGCTGTTATACAACAATTTTGCATGCCAGCTACACTCTGACAAGTTACCAACAAGTCTGCAAACACGGCAGTGTACTGTGGAATCCAATGTGTGATTTTTCATGATATGTATCACATTGTCTCCTATATTGCTATCTCGTACCTGAAAAATATATTTATGCATCAATATATTCAATGTTTAGATAGAAAAAAAATGAGAAATATTATCTATTAAGTTTATACTATAACGCATAAGTTAATTTTGACATTTGTACCCAATACGAAAATTTATTTCCATAAAAATGAAAAAAATCTCTTCAAAGATCAATTTTCCTACTAGATACCAAAGAATGCTCTAAAAAAGAATGTTCTAAAGCTCGTAAATTTAGAAAAATTAATTATTCATTAAGAATTAATTATTCATTATTTATTAAAATAACTATTCATTAAAAATTAATTCTATTTCGAAATTAATTATTTAATTTAATTTAATTTAATTTTATTTCACTTTAATTTAATTTAATTTTAAATATCGTAATGTAGATTTAGAGCATTTCTCACTAATATTGTATTTTTAAATATATTTTTGTCAGATGTTCTATTTATATTATTACTGTCGATATAATTGTATATTTAGCAATTTTTAGTACATGCTAACGCGTAATAATAGTAGCAATCGAAACGATCAAATTCAGTAATAATAATAATAATAACAACATGTACGCACCCTATTGTAACAGCTACTAACTACGATCCTGGCATGAATACAAAATCGTACTCCAAATGATCGATAGCTAGTACAAAAATAAAAAAAGGACATACCTTGTCCCTGGCATCCGAGGATATACAGGCGTTTGCCAGAATGCTTAGGCACATGTTGAGTATGGTGCTGTTTGGGCTCCGCAATAAATTCACAAGGATGCTAAGGCCACCGTGCTTGGTGAAATTTTTACAACGCAATGGCTCGTTCCTGAGCTGGGAGAGGCAGGTAACGATACCACTCTTGCTGTTCGCTCGAACATGCTCTTTCAGCGCTTGCACATCCAACGACTCCGACATTGTCGTGTCCTTCCTCGTTAATGATATTGCGCGTAATCGTCCGTATGCGGAAATTTAAGATTATTCCGATCGAAAAATGGGATTATTCGCGGTGTAACATAACCTCAAAATCGCGCCGCCCCACGCGAGCGAACGTAAGCTCGCTTGTTCAACGTCACACGTGTGCTTCGTAAGTCGCAAATTATCGCGATTGGTAATTTTCTCTTTTGTACATCCTATTGTAATTGACATGAGACACCGCTAGATGACGCCAAGCACCTGAACCGAAATTGTAGCATGGCCGCTCTCAGGGTTCTCTTTAATATAGGCTGCGTTCCGATATTCACTGCCAGCATTGAAATTCTATGACATATGCGACACAAACTATATATTTTCAGTACTGGCAGTGAATTTCGGAACGCAGCCATAGAATTTTTAGTTTATATCAGGCTAGTTTGCCTATTATTTAAACATATTACATATATTAAACTAATGTTACGTAAAGCTATCTGGAAATTGCTTGTTTTTTAGGTACGTAAGTTTTTTAGGTGCGTAAAATTAACTGTGAGAGCCTCAAATATTATTGTTAAATAAAATAAATAAAAATAGATATAAAGGAAACCAATTATATATATTAAAAAAAAAATATATTTTTTTTATGTTTATATATATATATAAAGATGTATTATCTATATTAGTATTTATATATTATGAATGATCGCAATAAATTATGTAATAACAATATCAATGTTATAGATTTTCAGACATTTTAATTGATATTACTATTTGTAAATATGAATGAAACAGTGAAATATGTTACTCATATGGCAGATTATTTGGACACATATTCTGGCAGAGACAAAATGTTGAAAACTCTGTCATATACAGCAAAGTTTCTTACTGTAAGCACTTCAACTAAGAATGTTCAAAAGAAACTTAAGGATATTGGGAGTGAAATGAGTGAAGCTAGAATGTTATTGCGTCTGTTGGATACTTTTTCAGCATTACGTTCTATTATAAAATATGGTTGGGGAAAAGAGGTAAAAAATTATACATGCCTATAGAAAAATATAAAATCAATTAATATATATATATATATATGTGTGTGTGAAATCTTAGATTATTATCAATTATCTAAAAAGAAAAATTAATATTATTTATTATATATATATTATTTATTTATATATTTATATAATGTTAGAGAGAAAGGGATAGTCCAGTTTTTAAATTTTATATTTGATCTAATAATAGGAGCCTGACAATTTAATTAGATGCACTCAAGTGCTGCAAAATACAGTAGACGTAGTCTATTGTGCTGCAGAACAGATTTATTGGGCTGGTGCACATGACATTGTTTTAATCAATGTCAACAAATGGAGTTTGGCTACAACTTTATTCTGGATATTCAGTATACACCTATCATTAATAAAGTAAGCAAAAATGTTCTTTAATATATATTTTCATGAGATTTTTAAAAATAGATGTATTTTACTTTTTGATCCCCCAATGATCTGTGTAATATTTCTTATTTGTATTTCTTTTTGTAGGTCAATGAGAAAAATTAAATATCTCCAAATATATAAAACAAATTTAGAAAGGATTCATCAACCTAATATACTGTAAGTAATGTGCATTATATTAACAATATTATCTCAAGAAATAATAGAGAAATTAACATATATTTATATCTTATCAATTATAGGAGATTGAAAGAAGTCAATAAGAAACGTAATTCTGAAGTATTAACGTGCACACGCTTACTGCTGGATCTTGGTTATGCTATTAATTACTTACCATCAGGTATATTTTGGGGAGAACGCTTACAGACTTGGCAAGTAGGAGCACTTGGAACAATGTCCGCGTTAATTGCGATTTATCAAGCTCTTCAAAATCGCAAAGAAGCAGAGAAACTTTCCTAATATGTATAGTTTTCATTGTTATCTCAATTGAGAAACAATATGGTTGCATATTATACACGGTAATTCAGGGTCCAGTATATAAACTTGGAAGAATGATTGGGGAGGTTAATTAACTAAAAGCTGATATTAACCGAGGTTCGAACTATTTTGTTTAAACCATGATTTATCGATTTTCATATAGCTAGTCGAGATTTGAAAATCATACGAGGGTAGTCCCAGAAGTATCTGACCTGACGTATAGATAGCGGTTGTTGTTTGAAAAGAATGACTGTGGTAGAAAGTACCAACCTTATAAAGCTTAAATTTGAAGTTTGACGACGCTACGTTGTTTAGTATTTGTTTCGCAGCCATCAATAGTGAACGTTCTCAGTGAATTTGTAAACATGGAAAAAATTGGTCATCGTTGTGTGATACAATACTTTCATTTGAAAGGCCTCAGTCCAACCAATATCACAGCGGAGCTAGATTTTATTCTGGGGGAGTCTGCTCCTTCGTTTACAACAGTAAAATATTGGGTGGCAGAGTTTAAACGAGGCCGTACGAGCTGCCAAGACGATCATCGCAGTGGTCGACCAAATGAGGTGACCACGCCAGAAATGGTGAAGAAAATCCACAAAATGGTATTGGATGATCGTCGACTGAAAGTACGCGAGTTAGCAGACATGGTAGGCATTTCAAAAAGTGCTGTACATCGCATATTGACTGATGAAAATTTGGACATGAGAAAGATGGGTGCCGCGATTGGAACAAAAACAGAGCGTCGTGAGGATGTTTCAATCGAGTGTTTGGCGAAGTTTCGCAGCAATAAAGCCGAGTTTTTGCGTCGATTCATAACCATGGATGAAACATGGGTCCATCACTTCACACCTGAGACGAAGGAACAGACAAAACAATGAACCAAGGTGGCTTGATGGCTATTTTGAGGAGCTCGACGATTCCCACTATAAACAGGGTATCGAAGCTATTGAACATCGTTGGGAAAAGTGTATTGAGCTAAAAGGAGACTATGTAGAGATATAAAGATATTTTTTCCCAAATTTTTTGTGTTTTCTTTGTTAGGTCAGGTACTTCTGGGACTACTCTTGTAACTTACCGATTTCTATTAAATTTAATCGAAAGTCGAGGCATATTTTACCAATCTTGTTATATTATGTAGATAACGATAAAAAAACTTAATGAAATTTTATATATTTTCCATAGAAAGAAACAACACTTTTTACAATTATTTCAAGTATTTTAATATTATTTTAATATATTTAATATATACTTGTATATTTAATATATTATATATTTGTATATTTAATATTATATAATATTAAAATACTTGAAATTTAGTATTATTACTGTAGATATTAAAATATATAACAAATTGAAAATAATGATTTTCTGTATGGAATTATAATTAATATTTCTATATTTTTATATCTTGTATCATTTGCTGTAGTACACCAATTGTATTATTTTGTATATATATATATATATATATTATATTTATATTTTTGGAAAAAGGAAAATTTTATTACTGTTAATAAAATAATGGGAATTCAGTGAGGTTGTGGAAGTAATTTCATCATTGTTATTTTTGTTAATAATAAATCACTCCTATTAAAGAAAACGTTTGACTCCTATTAACTCCTATTAAAAAAACGAAATTGAAAAAAATGGTTTAATTTTTGAAATTAAATAAGGCAATGAATAGGTGTTATATATATTAAAACATTGGTTTAGTAAATATTGATTTCAAAACCATCAAAGAATATTCGATAACGATATTGGAACAATTTATATGCAATAGGAAAAAGTTAAGCCACTGCGTAATTTATATACCGCAATAAGTGTTAAAGAGGATTCAATCGCGATCCTGTGTTTATTGTTGATAAATATAATTTTCTCAGGACAAATATCGCATGCATGCTATTGTGGCTCGAATATCAAATGGTTACATTTAGGGCTGAATGTGAATAATAAATATGGTACTTTTGGTTTATAATAATTGGATATAAATTTTTGTTTTTTTATATTTCAGAAGCTTCGTCAATATTTCTTTAAATGGTTTTGGGCTATCAGTTGTCGGTTGTTTACATGCGATAATGTGTCGTAAAATTTCTTATTTTTTACACATACGTCGTTAACAAGTATCGTCGTATAATCGTCGTGTCATTACGAATTCATTCTTAAACGTTATATAATAAAAGCTAAAGGATAGGAGAGGCACTTCTCGTCTGAACGAAAAACGAAGTACTTCGAATCTATCCACGATGTAATCTACGTTATTACAATGCGGTCTGTAGTCGAGGCTTGGTTGTACCTGACGTCGAACGTTCTAACTCTAATTAAATTTGTTCGACTATATATATATATATATGTATATATATGTGTATATATATATATATATATATATATATATATATTTATGCCACTCGACCTGATTCCCTGAAAAGCTTAACATTTATGCACGCTGACAATGGTCTTCACTTTCAGTAATAATAATAAATAATTCTGCTACGCGTCGATCAGGGTGATCGTGACGCGGGAATAACCGTGACACTAGAATATTTCTCAACGAGAGGTCTAATAATTGTTATAAAAATGGATAAAAGCGATGACTCTCTCACTGTCTCCCTTCCTATTTCTTTACTACATAGGTCATGTTTCATAAAATCATTAAGAACACTAATCGGCTACACCGTTAGAAAATACAACGATATCTGACATTGACTCCAGCCTCACGATTTCCCTGACTGACTCTAATAAGGCCCAGAATTTTAGCACGGCTGATAATTGAACGCGGACCCGTGCCTGCACAAGTTTTCGAAATCCCACGTGCTTACATCTTCTCAATTAAATGAACTATTCTGGTAAAACGAAAGACACGTTCTCCACGACTTTCTTTTTTGATCGTTCTGCGAGAATCGATCGTTCGATTAAACGCGAACGTAAAATTTCGAAGACTCACCATACAGACGGGCGCGTGTAATTGTCACAACTTACACAAAGATTCGGGCTCATTTTTACGTAGTAATAACAATTAGAAAATAATTTACGTTCGCCATTTCGGAGAAAATCTATGAGGATGTTTACGTTTAAAAGGCACGACTTATTGAAATTCTCTCAAACAACGCGCTGTATAGACGAGGGTCGTTAAAATTTGTTTACGATAAAATCTGCTCTATTGAAGTGGATAATACTGCTGTCGCGCGTAGAGCGTGTTTACATAGATTAAATATCATCGAAATATATCCATGAAGCTTTGTGATCGAGTGATCGACGTGTGTATACGTAATATTCTTCGTCGACGTGTTTTAAAGCACTTTTTTTTTTTTAAATAATCGCTTATATATGTAGCAACCACGTTATTATCGTCATCTGTGAATCATATACATGTGATATACTTAACGGGATATATAATATATATCGCGTATTATCTCCAAGTATTTTTCACTTTAGTGGATATTTGCTACACTTCGTATTTAACCGTCGCGTGCAAACCGCCTCGTCGTTATCACTCCGATGAAACAGTCTTGGGCTTGTTGTCTAACGATGCAGCCTCGTGCGAATGCACCTTCGTTATAGATAAATCGCGGCCGAGAGAATAAATTTTTTATTCCTACCGAGACTACTACTTTTCCTTGGCAACTCAGTGCGTTAAAATATTCTCATTATATTATTGTATCAATATATCATTCATCGCTAAAACAAACGAGCGCGTGTAACGCAACGTTAAAATTCAACTACGACGTAACTAAACGTTATTTTGAAAAGCAACATATAGTGAAAACTAATCGCTCCGACTGTCTTGATGTCACGCACCGATGAGAGACGGGAAGAATCACTGATGAGCGTAACGGCGACAGCTGAATGGTGAGAAGAAAAAAAGTGAAAATAAAAACAGACGTGGGACATGTATCTGCAAAAATATGATTTTTAATTCGACAAAATCGTATCAAAACAGGAGAAATTCGTGGTGAAGGATGAAACCTTACTCAAAGAAAAGATTTAACATCTTCATACATAACAAAAAGGAAAAAAAAAAATGAAAATAAAAATGAATCAATTCCCTACAATCCGCGCCTGAGAATCGTAGACCGTGTACTTCTCCATTTCGTCAACCGTTAAACAGTCCGTGTGAGCGAAACACATCTGCGGTAGCCGCTCGCTTCGGTTAGAAGAGCTAATCGATCGCGGCTGCTTGCGCTGCAATCGGATGTAAAGAGATACATTGTAATCTAACGTAAAAATTAACAATGTGTAACGTCATCGACAATCCGTATCGTAATGGAAGAACGATTCAGCGAGTTGTACAATATACAAATCGGAAAGAGCCTCCAGTTATATATCACATTAACATCGGATATATCACGCGCGCAATAATGACAAATAATTATCGCAATAATTACTTAGACACCGTTTTCTAGAATGATCTTTCTAGCATTATCGTAACAATTCATAAATTAAGCATAATATATTCTCTTATTCACACGTTAAACGTATGATGATGAAGCTATATAGATTTCCTGAGAATCTTACGTATCTCATTGAGCCCAGCTCAAATTACCATAACGGAGCTTTTTCGTCTCGCGTAAAAAATTATTGTCACTGTGAAAACTATTTTAACCCTCACGACTTTAACGAAAAAATGTGTGCATCTGTCTATGATATATGCGTAAACACGCGCATATACATAAGTGTGTGTGTGTGTGTGTGTGTATGTGTGTGTGTATATATATATATATATATGTGTTTGTTGTGCACAGGTGTTAATCGCTCCTGTGTGTATATGTTTTTTTTGCTCTTAATGCACGATCATGGCATAATCTAACATACTGTTGGCACAATATATTATTTCGCAATAAAAAGAAAAAAAATTGGCAAGAGAACCCGTCTCTCTCTTTCTCTCCCTTTCTTTTCCCTTCTTTCTATAAATGAGCGTACTAAATAAAAGTGCTCGAACGTAGTAAAAACTGCGTTCGCAATAGGAACTTTCTGTTAAACACGATTTCAATATCTATCATGTCTCCTCGCACGCACGATAACGATAATAAACCAATCGTTGCATTTGCAGCCAAAACTGACGATGAATCCCTATGTGCCTGCCCCCTGTATATCGTCAGATCAGCTGTCCGCGGCTCTGCGATAAAAAAACTTAGTCTGCACCCTGTTGCCTAATGTTCGAGATCAGGCGGCGCAACGTCGGTATACCGAAGAAGTCAAAAGGAACAAAAAGTAGAGGAGAACAACGGCGCGAACGTAAAGCGAGTACTGAACTGTGGCCGCGCGCAAACATGGAGTTTCTTCTCTCCTCGAACATTGCTCTTTAGATCATCGTCGTGCTCGACATACGGGGACAGCTGTTCATTCCGAAGTTCGGATTCAATCCTATCACTTGATTTGTCTTCGAGTTCCGCGTCAGAGGCGTATGATGCGACATCGAGTCCACGGAATGTTGCCACTGCCAGCAGCTACGGCAGAAGTATCGGAAGCACGCCTGAAAGGATGATTTATCAATTCGAAAGGTTCGAACAAGCTTGATTGTATCATTCAAAACGAAGGAGGAGGAGTCCGGCGCAAGAGAGAATGAAGAAGCGAAATTCTCCGAATGGAATAAAGACAATTTCACTGGTAGTTGAAGTAAAAAAATTCAAAATTCTCATACCACGTCGCGACAGAAATAATGTCCTTGCTGCACGACGCACACAGAGCATATCGACTCTTCGATGTACGGATCTACTTGTACCTAAAACATATGTTTACGTAAAAATATACGCAGTTGTTGTTATAAATATATAGCACTTGTCGTACACACGAATGATACAATGTATATATAAAATACAACCTTCTTCGTAAACTTGTCAGTCTTTATCTCAATGAATGAAGCGGTGATCGCTTTGAAGTACGACTGCTTCGTACTGAATGTAACACGGCCGGATCCTATCGGATATTTATACTTATCCGTGTCGATGCCTACGGTAGTATATTATTATTGACTTCCGCGTAACAAATTTCAAATAATCATAACACAAAGGCGCCGAATAGCTACACGAATGGCGGCGACAGTTACCCGCATAAATGACTCCATGGAAAAGATCATCCATGACTTTCGCTAATCCTGCGGCCGTTAGCATCCCGTGTAGCGCCCCGACGAATACTGTTTTATGCGCATCGAGTCTCTGCGATGAAGATTTGACGTAATTGCTATTCTCCAGGATCCATGGGATCACTTGCACCTGGAACGGTGAAATAAAGACTACAAAAATCCAGCCTTGATGATACTTCCAGGTATATACGTGCAACGTCCTGTCGGTTAACATACATCTTTCGGTTTGGAACGCTTCGAGATAATTTTGTAATACCATCTCTTGCCGTTGGTGATATCATGAGTGCAACAGGATAACATCGCTCTGACCTGAGGGAGGCACATTATTTATATGTTTTCGTGAGCTATGAATTCACTCTTCAAGAACAGAGACTGATGATTAAATAATATTAAGTAAAGTAGGATGAACTTAACGATACGATTTAGTACCTGTTTTTCTGATTCGAATATAATATACGCGTATCCTTTTGGCTGAGCGGACGGTGCTTTCGCTGGCCATTCAACACGGACCGGTCCGAATTGCTTGAACGTTGAGATCAGGATGGTTTCTGTAACATCCCACGGCACTCCTCCCAGAAACACTTTAGGGGAATAAGCGACCGGTTCTTCGGTGCTTTGCGGAAGAAAACCGCTCCATGTGCATGTCGGATAACAATGTGCTGAAAAATAAATAAAAATCAAAACAAGGCGCGCGCGGAGACCGACGTGTAATTAATATCATCATCGCGTAAATAAAAGCCAGTCTAAGTTCTCGAGAGAAATCAACGGTTATTCCTTGTAGATTTATCTTGTTGAAACTTCTTCCAGACATTGATACGCACCAGCGGCATTTCGATGGGAGCGTGCTACCCGATCGAGCGAGACCGGTTGAGCCAACCTACGCGCGGCGCTATTGAGACCGCCGGAACAGCAATTTTTCTCATAGTTCAAGAGAGAATTGAGAAAATTGCTGCGAGTCTGCCCGAGCCCGTGATGATGTTGATAATAATGCGGATTTGTTGGATTCTGCTGTAACGATGACAAATACTTTTTCACAGCCATACGCTCGAACGCCGTCCGATTGCTCGGGCACGCGTTCGCCTTCCCCGATATTATGGAGTCCAAGGACTGGGGGAAGCAAGAATTCGACGAGGAATTCAGCGACAAACAGTTCTGCGAATAAGTATTTTCGATAACATTAGAAACGACGCGTGACGCGTTGATTCAGACAGTAAAGGAGAATCGTGCAGTGAGAGAAAGAGAAAGAGAGAAATAATTTTTCGCAGAAAAGAGACACTTACCATTATTATGTCGGATAAGGAACCGTCTGCGCTACCGATGCCGCTTGCTTCCGAGTCAGCCGGCGAGTTGGAACGCGAGCCGTTACATCCCAGAAGATGAGAGAATTCCAGCGTCGGGCTGCCGCAGTCGCTGTACAATACCGAGAATCGTGACTCGTAGCGGGAGAATTCTGCGCGTTTTGCCGTTGCGTATATATTTATGATACGTGAAATATATTCGAAATATTTCCTATGATGAATGTTCCAATTAATGACCATGTAACATCATTGTGAAGAGAAATTAATCTATCGATAATAATACAGGTCCAAAGCTGAGGGACACAAAGTTGACACTTTGTCGGGAAGCTCAAACATTCGGGGTTTTAATCGTGTTACATTTTTCTAATTTATAGAAAGATTCCACAATTGTTGATCTGTATATTTTCCTCAGAAATAACGGAAGCATCATTAACAACACGATGGTTTACCTCTTTTTTACTGGCCTCTTTTTATTACTTTTTAGTTTAGTTTTGGAGAAGTTGGAGAAAGAGTAACTGAGATCAACAACAAACAGATATCTGATATCAGTAATTGGGACATTCACCTGATATCTCTTTTTATGTTACAATTCGAAATACATTTCCCTGGAATTTTCGCTTTGCGTATCATCTATTTCCGCGGTTCCTTGCTTTACCTGTACGGTGTGGAGCAGCCTCGTATCGGGCGGCCGTAGTATGACGAATCAGTAGACGATGACGAAGTACCGGGATACTGGAACGACGGTCGGCTGGTCGGCGAAGACGGCGTGTTTGTACTGTTGCTGGCAGTGGACGAATAGCTGTAGCGATCCGACGTGAAGCTGCAGGGGGTGCTGGGACTGCCAGGAGCGGTCACCGAGTTCGGTGAGCTGGGAGTATCCAGGGTCGAGGAGTTTGAGCAGAAACTGTGATTGCGATGACACTGCAAGGAGAGGCGTATAAATTAATAAGAAGAAGTCGCGAGAGACGTGCGAAGACCTCGCTATGTATGTGTGCGTGTGCCGAGAGAGCGAAATTGCGCAGGCCAGTCAAAACAGAAAGTTCTCGTCGCGCACGTGCGTGTTTTTCGAGATGCTTGGAGCACATCCAAATTGAAACGCAATATCGCACAATAGCCGGAGTGCGATCTTTTGAAACGACCATCGAGTTAACGTCGGCTCAGATTAAAGCGTAGAGAAACGATGCGCGTTCTAATAGAGCCGTTTGGCTCAGACCGACGGATTCTCGGCCATCGGCTGGGCTCATCCTTCTAACACGTCGTTCATTGCAACTGATGTACTCGGGGCGAGCGCGAAGCTTTATTCGCGAAGGTCTGCCGCGGATTTCGGTCTCTCCTAATTAACGCGAAATACTTGACACGCGGGATATGTGAAGTGCGCTTTCTTCTCCAAGCGAGGCTCCCGGCGCGACCTAATGCTTGGAAAATAAGCGGCACGCTCGAAATGGAGCAGTTGGAGTAACTCCAACGAGGATGATCATTGTTCCGGTTATTGCATCGACCGCGTGTGATAAGTGCCCTCGGCGGTGCGCTTTATGTTTTGCGTTTGTCATCTTTATCGCCGCTCTGTACGCAATACTCGCAACTCGCCGGAGCTATTACATACAGCAGCAGCGGTTCGTCGAATCGCGCTCGTGTGTCGGACGCGTTGTTCCGCCTCGTATATCGGCTAGCACTCGCGCGAGCAATAGCGTGTAATACGAAGAAGCGGAGAATCTTCTTCGTGAATATCAACGAGCGCGTCGTTAATCATCGCGCGCGGCGCGGCGCGTCAGTGAAACGGGATTTCCATATCGCCGCTTTGTATCTCAGTATGTATGACAGTGACCTTATCGCCATGCGCCAGTCATGCCGACTCCTACCGAATCCACCTACTCTCCGTCGCTATTTCATCCGCTATTCGTAATAAAAGCCGCGTTAAGTGTCTCTGTTCCGTTGCAGCGCGTTCCCAGTTCCAGCGGTGTTATTCAAACGACCGGACAAAGCGTGCGCCTGTTTTCGTGCAAACGCGCATTCAGTCGGCGGCATATTCCTCCTCGCTTCTGACAAATCTCTCGTCGGGGTTCACACCTCGAGCGTCGTTCGCGAGCTGCGATTTTACCTCATGCTGCTGCTGCTGCTGCTGCTGCTGCTGCTGAGAGGAAGATCCCTGCGCTGGGCTGTAATACTGATAATTACGGTAACTCGGGGAGCCGACCGCCGCCGATTGGCTTCCCATCAACGATCCCCGGGGCAAACCCAGTCCGAACATATCCGAGATCGCGCTGTCGCCTGGGAAAGAAACAGAAAAGAGGAGCGATTAGTGGAAAGGACAGAATTTATAAACGACGGAGATACAATTTTATACAATCGTATCTATCGGAGTCTTTTCGTACTTTAAAGCCTTTCGTGATTATAGGACAGGTTCTTAATTTCAATTCAGAATTAATTTAAATACCAACAAGTTGGTTAACATCATTTCTCCTCGTTGTGTGTATCAACTTTCATCAAGATCGAACTTACTCTTGGAAAATGGCAGCGTTTGAACCAAGCGAAAGACACGGAAAAACGAAAAGACTTTCCGGTACCTCTAATATTTTCGCGTTCAGCCGAACAAGCAAGCAGAATAAACCCTTGATGTACCTTGATGTTTTGTAATAATTACAAGACAATGAGTTTTGCTCTACTGAGAAATAAAACGAATAGATTCTCCTGTTCTTTGCATAAGTTTTTCAAGAAAGAACAAAAGTCACGAGATCAATTCTCATGCAATTATTACAAATAATTAGACTCAACTGCTCGAATCGGAGAATTGGAAAGCCGGGATTGCTCGGGTCCAGTGGAGCCTGATGTCGAGGATCGAATTAAAAAAAAAAAACATGCCGGCGCATGTCTTACCGTCAGTGTTGTTAACGTTCTTGTCGGATTGCGACGAGGAAGCCTCTTGGGAGTAACTGGAGAGATGCGTGAGCGGCGGCGGTAGGTCCAGCAGCAGATTGTTGAGCGACTGCAACTGATGCAACCTCTCGCGCTCCTGATCGCGCTCCTTTCCGCGCTCCCGCTCGCGGTTCTGGTTGATCTTCCGCAGCAACAGCTTGCTGCGCTCTCGATTCTGCATCGAGTCCTGCTGATGCATCGGATCCGGCTGGCTCATCGATGCGCCTCGATCGAATCCAAGTTCCGTCTTGTCGGTCTCCTCGCTTACCAGCGAAAGGTCCGACTGCAAAGCCGACATTCGCCGGTTAATATTCACGAACAGATCAATGAATAATTCGAGAGCCGAGAGCGGATCCCGAAATCCGGATCCAGGCAGCCGTTCCCGAGTCGCAGGCGAGCGACGAGAACACCTCGGAGATCACCAGCTAAACGAAGCAAACGCACGCGCGAACTCTTTTCGCTCTTTTCGCGAAAGGGAGAGCCAAAACGAGAGCGCGACTTCAATCGCCGTTCAATCCGGAGTATCGCGGCGAAACGTCACTCGTACGGACAAACGTAAATCATCGCGTGGCGATTAATGACGCAATCCAGAACGCATGGTACATCAACTAGCGAACCCGCTCGTGCCGTTTCCACCGGCTCGTCGAGATCAAGCTTAACCCGACTCTCAGCTCAGCTCGGGAGACCGAGGCTTCTCAACTCGGGTTAAAGGTTGAATCAGCGCCGATAGGAACAGGCAGGTTCGACTCACGAATCGTTCGACTCGCGCGATTACCTGCGTATTTTCGTCCGCGTGTTAACCGAGGCCGCGTCGCCCCGCCGGAGAAGGAGAGGAAGCTCGCTCGCTCGCTCCGCTCCGCTCCGTTCCGGAATGACTTCGAAATCGCGCTGTGTTCGCGCCGTGTCTCCGGCGAGAGCAGCTCCCAGCCTTTACGAGCGACGCGGACGTACTGCGCGCGAGCGCCGCACAAACAGGGCCTGAAGGACGCGTCACGCGCTCCCGGGCCGCGTTTGGAATTTACGAAAAAAAATTCCTCCGGATTCCCGGGCGTATCGGGACACATTCCACGGCTTTCCCGGAATTTACTTTTGAACGCAAATTCCGCCGCGGCAACCGCCGACACGCGTTGTACACGCGACGATCGTATCGTCCGCGGTGTTTACGTCACGCGGTGTGCGACGTGGTGGTGGTGCGAGCTCTTCTCGCGAGAAACCCCTTTCGCTCGCTCGCTCGCTCGCTCGCGGAAGGGGACCGCGCGCGCGACGGGGGCTTCTTCTCCTTCGCTTCTCCGGTCGTCCGGATTTTTGCCCGTCCTCCCGTGTGAGGGAAGCCGCCGAGAAACCGAGAGTGAACAGATAATAACGGTTATCGGCCGGCGACGAGAACACACGGCGGAGAGCGGCGGCGTGTGTGTGTGTGTGTGTATGTGTGTGTGTGTGTATGTGTGATCCGCCATTGCTAGAAACATTCGGCGAAAACGCCGACGGAGACTAACACGTACTTTCTTTCCGCTCTCGCCGGGGCGAGATCGAGCATAACTCGACGCCCGGCGAGTTGTAACGCCACGTACGCACACGCGCACACGCGCGCGCGCGATAATAAGTTGATTAGCACCAACTACAGGAACGAACGTAACGTTTCGACCGACAATTCCGGCATGACAGCGGGGGACGACGATAATGCAAGGATACGAAAAACACGACGAGTCACGCCGGTTAGGTTTACACCGGGGCAAACTACCGAGCGCCGATCCTCCATCAATGATTAGAGCTTGATTGAGCACAAGCGAGGCGACGCGTCGATTATCAGATACTCCGCAATTTTAGTCGGTTCGTTCCTTGCCGATCGATCGACCCAGATTTTTGGCAATCGCGCGCGGTACATTGATCTCTTCCTATCTACCTCTCTCTCGCTCGCTCGCTCGCTCGGTCTCTCGCCCTTTCACCCTCTCGCGTAACCTCGCGCGTGTGCCAATCTTTTCGACGGAATCTCCGAGGGGGCGCGTTTACGAATACATTCGCGAGGATATAAGATCCTCGCACGATATATCGCGCGACTCCAACATGTCGCGTGTTTATTTACGTTCGCGCGACGCAGGACACATTCCATCGCGTACGTATGTCCCGTGGTCGACATGGTCTCGAATTAATAAACGAGCGCCGAGAGACGCGCGCTAAGAGACGAGAGGGTGGCGCGAGAGAGCAGGATCGCCGGCAGCGAGAGCAACGATCGTAATCGCCGGGCGTGGAAGGCGAATACCGATCGGCTTTCGCTCCGAACTTTGCTATCTCTCTTTTTCTTCTCCTCCCCCGGTCCTTTTCTAACTCTCTTTCTCTCTCTCTCTCTCTCTCTCTCTCTCTATCCCTGAAGCTCGCGACTCTATGAATTTCTCCATTGAAACGAGCACAAACGAAAGCCTTACATGATATACCAAGGGCGCACGAGAAGATAACCGCGATAACGATCTGCGTCGAAGATGAATCCAACGCGAGTCCGAGTCCCGCGAGTTAACGCGATCGCGATCGCGAGAGAGAGAGAGAGAGAGAGAGAGAGAGAGAACGAGAACTGAGATCGGCGTGAATCGCGCAATACGATTGAAACTTACCGGCTGCATCAACATGGGCATCTCCGTAGCGATTCGCGGTGGGTCCTGTCGCGAGGAGGCAGCGAGGACTCGCAGGATGATGCGACGACCGGACGATTACGTGGGAGATGTCGGCTCGCTCGCTCTCGCACGGCCTCGACGGACACGAGCGAGTGAGAGCCGCGACTCGACGATCGGCTTAACAACAACGCGACGCGACTGTAATACGAATAGTAATTTCTCGACGTCGCGCGTGTCGCGAGAAGTTACGCGCGAATGATGACAAACACGCGCGACGACGACGACAGCGGCGGCGGCGACGACGGCGGTGGCGGTGGTGGCGACGGTAACGGTAGCGGTGATGGTAAGGGGGCGACTTTAGAGGACCGCCCCGGGTGATTCAAGCGCCGACCACTGACAACACTCTGCGGTTGTCGCCGTTTCGCCCGATATAAGCGGGATAATGCGCGTTCCGGGTTCTTGCGCGACTCGATTTTAGTGCCGACGACGAAAACGGAACGCCCATTCTTCCACATTCTCCGCTGCACCCCGAATGAGCTGAAGTACTCCACTTTCGCGCACTCGTTCTCTTTCTCTCTCTCTCTCTCTCTCTCACTCACTCTTTCTTTCTCGTACGCATGCACGCTCTTCGTAGCTTTTGAATGTCGCGCAAACGTGATCATTTTTTGGCTGCATACGGAAAACACAACGGTTGTACAACCGTGCAGTGAGAATCATCGATGACTGCTGTATACTGCTTTTAGTGCGGTACCAGTGGTGTATGTCTTCCAGAAGTCAATTACCCCAATCGTTGCGCTATTGGAACGCAACCTTTGCTCATACTTCTTACATTTTTTTTTTTCGAAATAAGAATCAAGGATTTCAGCGGAGGGTGTTGTAAATTATGAGAATATATATATATATATATATATATATATATGTATAGTTCGATTTGCGGCAAAATTGAATACTGCTTCGTTGAAGCTCAGATAAAAGCATACTTGGTTTCAAAGTTAAAGAGACATTCTGATTACTCTTCGTATATTCAATATTTCGGTCGATTTGTAAATTGTAGAGTAGGTTAAATTTATTTTTACATTTTTATTTCTTAAACTACACTTACTTCGTTAGAGGTCGATAAATTACCGATAATGTTAACAATTTTGTCGTAAGTCCGTCGCTTTATGAGGTGTATAAAAATTAGAATATGTACAAAAAGTATGTACACTATTTACATTGACGATTTTGTGCCTGAAACTGTGTATATTTCAAGCGAAACTTAAACTACTTTGTTTTACGACGAATGAACAGACTGTAAAGAAGCGCATTTAATTATACTCTATATGCGCGGTCGAAGAGTCTAACATTTCGACCTCGGAAGTGTCGCTGGTTGAGTAATTAACGAGAGAGACATGTTGTGAACGTTCCAGCTTATCTGACGTATTATTTTCTCCTTTGCTGGAATTCTCTCCCCACCCAGAAAATAGATTCATCCTTAATTTATCGATGTTTTGATCGTCAGAGGTGCCTACATTACTGGAGTTTTCTGCAGACAGGCTAACTTCGTTATTCGGAGATTTATATTTTGGTATTTCCGTGGGTGCGTCTGAAAAAATTTGATCTGTGAGCAAATTATACCATTCCATTCCAAGTTGTATTAGAATGCGGCTTGACAAATAATAATTAAAGAATCCATTACGAGGAAGGGAATATCTAGATTGCAATTTGCTTTATGAAGTAAAAAGCGGAAGAATAAATAAATATCAGATATTCTCTTTGTCTAAAGCTTTTTTCCTTCCACGACTCCTACGACTCCGAACGCTCAACTGTATGTAACGTGCCTGGATACGGCGGTGTCTCATCGATCAATTGTTCCATCACGTAGCCCAACATAGTCGTGGTGAACGTGTCGTCCCTTCTAAGACCGAGTGCTCGATGAAAAGCGTCCACTGCCTCTTGGGTGTTACCCGTTAGCGCATGAATATATCCAATCGCCGAATAAGTAGACGGATTTAGGGGATCCAGAACTAATGCTTGTTGATGATACCCTAACGCCTCCTCGTACTTCTTCATCTTTCTACATGTGTGACCTAAATTATTCAATAGAGCTTCCCATTTGCTAGGCAAGAGTACGTCTTTGGGATCGCCTTGGATTCTCTTCATTGCTTCCTTGAATAATCGTTCCGCGTTTTTGTAACTGCGAATGTTTCAATATTTAGTTTACATATGTTCTATAATGCGTTTAATATGTGTGAATGATTTATGGTCATTCGGGTCAGTACATTACGCGAATGAAAATAGCATTTACATGTGATATTTGTAATCAATAAAACTTACTCCAAATTGTAGAAACATATGACGCCCATCTCATGTATCACAAACGGATCGTTTGGCGCTATTCCTTGAGCTTGCTGAAAGAACTTGTCGGCCAATTTTATATTATTTGTCAAACCGCACTCTAATCCAATGTATAAAAGCGGCAAATGGCAACCTTTCATTAGTTGCGACGCCTTGAAATAAGCGGCCATTGCTTGATCGTGTTCATTTTCTACCGCAAATGAATGTCCATATGCTAACCAAGCAGGACCAAAGAGTCTATCTAACGCCGTGGCCTTTGCCAGATATCTCCTTGCTTGGTCGCTTTTATCTTGAAAATAAGAATGCTAATAAGCTTCAACTTATTCTTTTATATATACAATTTTCAAGTTTTTTCTTTTGCTGTTCAATAATTATAAAATAATTATTTACCTATGCTGTAATAATAACATCCAACTGCAAACCATGCCAATGCCATTTCTGGGTACAAGTCAACTAATTTATGTGCCAGATAAAATAAAGCTGTGAAATAAAGTTCAATCGTTAACGCTGTTCACTTATCACGACGAAATATAAACTTACCATTAGTCTTTTTTAGTTCAACTAAACAGGCAATGTGTACCGGAAGGCAGGAATTGTGGTATGGATCTTTCCTCAAGATTCTGCGTATAAAAATATTTCATGTTACAATTCGTTAAGAAATGCGAAGACAGTATCACAGCAAGAATATAACTTACTTTTCTGTAAGTGCGAAACATTGATGATATTCACAATTGTAATATAATCTTTCAGCTTTTGTGACTTCCATATCCAAATTATCTGCTAATCTATCAGTAATGCAAATTCCCATTACACTACATGTAATTAATGATTGTTTCTTGTTTGGTTCTTGATACTTCTTTAGTTTACTCTCATAGAGTAGTCGCAAAAGTTCTGTTTCACCCTCAGTACATTGTTCAGCAAAAGGTAGCGATTCCAGGAGTTCCCTCTCTGAAGCAACAATTTGGTTATTACATATGTATAAGTTTGTTTTAACAATATACCGCATCTAATCAAAATATCAATACCTTCAGCAGCTGAGAGCATTTGATTTTGCACCAAAGCTTCAAATGCCTGATACGAATAGACATCACATTGCAAGGCTTGTTTATAAAATTCTGTTGCTACTGCTCTGTTGTCCATAGCTTCATATACTCTTCCTTTCACATATAATATTGCACTCTGAACCTATGAAAAAATTATAATAAAGTTATACATTATAATGCATACACTGTAACTCTGCAAATTTATATATACTGTGTACAAATATGAATATACTTACATTCTTTGGAGCATCCTGAAGAATATCCATACGATCGGTAAAGGTAATACCTGATTGTGTCATATTTGTACATATTTCAGATTCACTAATAACCTGAAGTGCTTCATTATATTCCTTAGCTTCTAACAGGCTCCTCACAGTTAAATAGTAACACATTACATCAGTCTGTGTTAGTGGATTATTAAATTTATTATAAGCTATTAATTTATCATTGTGTAATTACTGAAAAGATATTGTTTCTTATTGAAAAAATACCTTTTCTAAACCATGTCTCCTTATAAGATGTGCAGCACGATGATACTGTTTCATAAGATACATACAATGCGCCAAAGTGCACACATCCTTTGGATCTTCATTGCTCAGTGACAATACTTTGTCAGCCCAAAATAAAGCAGCACTGTACAGATGCTGAAAAAACAAATACAGTGGTCTCGTGCTTGCGATTTCTCATTAGATTTATTATTTTATTTTATTTAACGAAACTCACCAAGTCGATATACGACTTAACTAGTTTCCTGCAGTTTTCCAGATCAATACTCTTCTCATGTAGCAGATTATTCATACTGTCGTTATTAGTATCGCGACGTGACATGCTTGACTCGTCTTTCGCAAGTTCTATAGGTTAGGATAGGTTAGGGACGCTCTTCTTCAGCGTTCGTATTGCAGTTCTGTTTTACTATGTACACTTCCTCAAACTCTACAGAATAAAACAGGTGGATTAAAGTTTTTTTGAAGAAAAAAGAAAAGAGATTGATAATGGGGAACACCACTGCAATGGAAAGATTCGATAATTTCTAAAATCTTTACGATCATTTAGATGTACGTAACCTACAAAACTATGTCTAGAATTAACAGACTTTACTCTCTTATATCTTTTGCCAATAAAATAAAATACCTGAATATTTAGGTTTGCTCGGCAAAAAGCGTAAGGAACAAAGTATAAACCACCGATAATGTAACTGAAGCAGAACCGCCATGTTCTTTTTTAAATATGCAGGCATGCGCGCGTTATGATGGAATTGAATCTTCATACAAGTTACCTCTCTCTCTACTCTTTAGATAATTATTTCTTCATCGTGCATTTAATTGCAACTTAAACATACATTTAATTATAGAAATAAACTTATACAATCAAGTTTTTTTCCTAAATTGGGAGCCGATCGAATATGTAATCAAACGACACAGGATCTGTACCATTTATATTTGCAATATATTAAATAATTATTAATTAGATACAATTATGTGCGATAGTAATTTAAATTCATATTTCTATATACATTTTTTTCTTCTTTCTTTCTTTCTCCACTGTACTTTTTTCCATCTCGTAATATTTTTAACAATCTTTCCGCTCGTTATATGAGAGTCTTAATTATTATGACACGAGTTGCATGTACCAGATATACACATAAGACATTAGTTTTCTCTATTGTTGCTCTCTTCGCTTTTGTATCACTTCCTTTCAACTTCGTATTATCATACAAAAGTGAGCGACTATCGCGTACAACGACAAATAATTAGTCAATTATCAATCCTGTCCATCGATAGAGATGTGTAGCATCGGTGAAATTTTTTCAAGGTCCACGAATATAGCGTGTGCATTTACGTGCGCGAAATAATCAAGACAAGATCATATCGACGATAGTGTGTTTGCACGTAAAAGTTGTTCGCAACTTGAAACGTGTCAAAGGAATGAAAATATATGCAGGATATAGTTTGGATTTACAATCCACCCGATATGCCTCTTAGATACATGCAAAATGTACGATTATTTTCTTCCCCTTTTTGTCTCCGACGAAAATTCAAATAAATTGTAAGTCGCGCATTATACAACAATAACATTTCATAAATATTGGACCACAATCGACTGTCGATTATGGTGGACAACCGATTTAAAAGTAATTTAAAATTAAACGCACGCTTTTATAATTACAAACCAAGTCGGCAATCAGCGCCGACAATTGTCGCTCGTGTGTGTACTGTCCGTCACGCTAAGCGTCATTACATTGTTGCGTTCAATCGTTTGTTTGCACGTGTACCTAAAAGTTAGCCTGATGAACGATAAGCCCGAACTATCCCGATGCAATTGCGAGACAGAGTGAACTGATTTGGCGCAAAAAAAAAAAGAAAAAAAAAGAAAAAAGAAAAGGAAAAAAAATACGTGAACAATTGTGAGACATATAATACTGTTGAGTCGATTATGTTAAACTACCTACTTTCCAGTTCCAAAGCTCCTCGTGCGCTGTGTGACTCGAGTATAACATGTAGTTATTTTAACGTATTACAATTACTCGCTACTTCCCAATCAATAACTGTTACGCGCGAGTGTCACGACGAGATTTGGAGCTGTCTCGCTCTCTGACAACTTTTCTCATTCACATATGGGTGGTTGTGATGACAATATTATATCATTACGAAAATATGACGCGGAAGAGGCGCACGCAAGAAAAAAAAAAATAGCTATAAAATCTCGCTTCACATTCACACTCAATGGAGGCAATCGAACACCAAAGTAACATATCTCCGTTTCTCATGTTCCGAAAGAAAATAAAAAAGAAAAGAAGCGAATGTCACCGTCTAGAGTGGAGATTGACAAAAATCCATGGATACACGACGACTATTTCTCGTCAAATCGATATAATAAATAGCTAGAGATAATACAGAGATAATGTTGATTATACAATACAATAGACGTAAAAGTAACATAGTAAACGTTAATCGATATCTCTCGATAACATGCCCTTTCGTAGGTAACCTAAGAGTAGGAGGAACTTACGCATTACGTTGAAGTTCGATAAATTATTTGAAACGTGACTAAGCTTCCGCGCGGTACACAACAGTGTATGATTTTCTTTTCTCTTTCTCTCTTTTCTTTCATATGAAATTCGGACACCTTTAACAGTTCGTTCGTTATCGCTTTTACCGTTAATAAAACACTCGCGATGCTCCGTGATGCAACGCGACACTCCGTACGTACGAGACGTTCGCGAAAACTCGCGCGTCCCGAGACGTGCGACGCCTCGAGATGCCGTGAATTCCAAGCGAACGCCTCCTCGAACACGAAGAAGCGCGTGCACCAGTTCCAACAGAGCGTTCCCGTCGCGCCAGCGGCACCCCGACCGTCATCACTACACGCACCGTGTGTCCTAAACTCAATGTTAATAAATTATTACGGAGTATTACAGTTAGTAGAGATATACGCGCGCGGTCTCGCCGTAATCGTAATTATGCCGCGAGAATTTAGTTTTGTCATCAGCGTGATTAGAAGTAAGAAATCATCAGCATTGGCAATGGCAGTACTTGGAAGAATAGAGAAATACGAATTCTCGTGGGCTTTCTACCGACTATCACAATGCTTTACGACACTAATATCATAATATAGCCACGATAAAGTTCGTAATTTACGAAACAACACCGAGCGACCTGTGCAAGAAACCGACTCGATCCGTCGCACCGTCGACGGACGGTTGCGCCGCGCGCACGACGGTGTGAACCCGCGTCTTTCTTGCAGAGGTCTCGTTCGCACATTCAACGGATAAACGATTCCGAGTACTTTTTATTGCGTACAAGTGAAACGGATCTCGTGTAACATATATCCGTAGTTTATGTGTACACACACTGAAAGTTTTTAGCGGATAACAACGAAAACGAGAGGCGCGAGGCGGCGATTGAGAGAGATTCCGCGAGCGAGTGTTCGCTCAGAAAAAATTCTCGCCACCACCACCTCGCGCCTCTTCTCTCTTTCTTTCTTTCTCCTGACCGTTTTACTAGGATTAAATCGCGTAGAACCAAAGATACACATCTCGCGATACCCTGCAAATGTGAGACCTTTATCGTCGAGGATTACTCATCACTTCGCGGTTACATATAAAATCCGTGCTTAAACAACGCGTCAACTTCCCAATTATCTAGAGAGTATATAACGCGTCTATATCCTTTTTGTATCCCGTACATTGCGATATATTCCTCTTTTTCTCGTTCAATTAATGATATATATTATCCGTTGAAGTTGAAATTTACATAGTCACTGCGTGTATTAGTTGAAGTCTTATCAATATCTAGATTTTAAAACGTTTTCATTTTGTTTGATGCTTGCAAGTTTAATGCGATCTCTAACCGTTATGATCAAATTTTCATGATGAAGCGCATATATATATGTACACAACGTGTATGTATATATACACATACACACACACACACACACACACACACACACACACACACATACATACGTATATATATATATATATGTATATATATAATACACATAAAACATATGTATACATACATATACATACGTGTCGATAAACTGGAAGTTTAACATTTCACTAACGTAAAGGCTTAATTCACAATCTTCAAAACTCCGCATTTTAGGCTTCGTTACGGCTTTTAGTCACGTCGGAAGTCATTTTTTAAATCTACAATATGATCCCTGATTAATAATCCCTGTAAAACGGAATTTACTACGCGTGTTAATAACCGAATATTCACATAGACTTGAGTTTCCGTTTTTTTCTTTTTTCTTTTTTTTTTTAACTCGTATAGCGGATAATCTTTGGTTATCCCGAAAACTTCTATTCGTACGTTGCTGATTACTTCACATTTCCGTAAGGCAGATTAACAGCTGCCCATTTTACCGAGTTCCTGCTTAAGGCCCCGGATACGAATCGTAATTTATAATTTCTGGGAGAGTTCAGGTAGAATCGATCGAATTCTATTTGTGCGCCAGATCTTTCTACATATCTCACTACTAAGATACTCATTTTTGATCAATGTCTTTTGACGCGCCTTTATGTAGGATTCATCGGAACAAGATGCGAGCAACAGAAATGTAGAAATTCCCGAGCTCGCAATCGCATTTGGCCTTGGAAAAGAACTAATCTAACTTCGTCGGAAGTTCTTTCGAGACTGACGTGAAAATAGCGAGAAGCCCGATCGTTACATCGACCAGGATGATAGCAAAAAGTAACTTTCAGTCGTTTAAGGTAGAAATAGGCTATTTGAGGTTACTATATACGCATACTCGGGAAGAACATCAATCCGATATTATGATAGCAGAGCACGCAATTACTTTCTCTCTCTCTCTCTCTCTCTCTCTCTCTCTCTCTCTCTCTCTCTCTCTCTCTCTCTCTCTCTCTCTCTCTCTCTCCTTCTTTCTCTCTAATCGGAATCCTCGTCGAACGGCGGAGGTAACATGGCGAGATGCTGCGCGCTGAGCATTCCCCTGGAAAGCGCGTACTCCGCCAATGCGCGATGGCAAAACACGTACTGATCCGGCATCTGAATACTGTAGGCCCGTTGCGCTCTGATCCTCTCGACAGTTCCTCTGATGTCCACGGTTCCGGTGTCTTCCAACCGCGATATGCAAATGTCCAAAGTGCAAAATGTACCTGAAACAATGCCGGCGTGATGTTTTATAGAAGCGTTCAAATTTGTAAGATTGTACATATGATCACCGTACTCGCACACACAGATACATATCTTAACTACGATTTAAATTATTCCAGGTAAATATCTGTTCTCACCTGTTCTCCCGATACCTGCGCTGCAATGTACAACTATAGGTGGTCCTCGAGGATGTCCGGCCCAAGTGTCTCCTCTACTCGCGAGTAACTTGCTCTGTTGCTGTCGCACTAACGATAAGAATTGTAATAAAGCCTTAGCTGACTGAGGAACACCATAATCCGGCCACGCTGTGTACAGCATATGGCAAACCTCTCGCGTCTCATCAGTCTGGAACGAGACGTTATGGGTGTGAACACATTACGAAACGCAATATTTTGTGCGTAACAATTGAGAAGCGCCGAGGTGAGTCTGTACCTTATTGTTTGTAAGGAGAAGCATGGATATTGTGTAGTCAGGATTCGTATCGACCTCGAGAGTAGTGACGGTAAAACCACCTGCTTGTACTTCATCACCAGGTTCTGGGCCCCAGTACTGCGCACACTTTGTACGACCCCGTTCCACCACTCTGGAACGACATATTTCGTTTTTACTTTATTTGTGTGAAATTATAAAGTTTCTTCATACGCGAAATTTTCAACAAAACGCGTCATCGAGGTAGAATCGTGTGAAGTTTATCTCGTGAATGTGCAAAAGACACGGATTTATCGGTACGAAAGGATTACGCGTTCCTTGATGGGTGCTATAAGTGAAACGAGCGAAAGTAGTCTACCTCGTTGTCATGACGACGACCAGCGTCTGCTGTTCCCAGACCATTCTCCAGAAGTCACCGCAAGTTTTCGGGAGAGGACCCTGAGTACTGATAAACGCATTCTTCTGCTTGTAACCGTCGACGAAATTCGCGTTTATATAATCGGACGTGGCGTCCCCGTCCACCTGCGAGAGGCAGACTCTGGTATGGTCGTAGCAAAGCACGTCGGTGTAGCGATTCTTTGATTGATTAGACTTTAACCTGGAATACGGAGGATACAAGAGTATTGATCAATACGTCGCTCGTGACAGCAAGGAATATATCACGCGAAGATCACGCTGAATATCAGTCGCGATACGTACTTTGCATTATTAAATTGGCCATCTGGCGGTCTCTGTCTAATCTCAGCGTATTCCGCTATGAGGCCAGCGCGTCCTCTCGAGTGTATGTCGGCTATAAACTGTTCCATTGTGACAGCCTGAAGCCCGAGATCCCCGTGAAGGCTATCGTCGTCACTAAAACCGGAACTAGCCGAGGACGGAGGCTGAACTGGGGACGGTGCCTCGTCGGTGCCCATCCAGACATCGCCGTTTGCGGTGATCTCGATGTCGCCAATGTTCGACACACCATTTTTCACCTTGTTCTTATCGATTATAGGACTAGTCGAGTTACTGTGCGTAGTCCCATTGGGATTCTGAAGAACTGTATGATTCTTCGCCGTAGGCGAGACAGGTGTACCCACTCTCGGGGTGACCTGAAAATGCATAATACACACGTCAGATGAAGATGTTTGCAAATAATATACCCGTTAATAAGCTTGTTCCCATGAGAATACGATTATGATAAAACGTTCATATATCGTCACACATGAGCTTGTCATATTCTCGAATTCAACATCGCGAGTATTATACTGACCTCGCACAGTTCACCCCCGCCTCGGTTTGTCATGGATTTAAGACAATGAAGTAGCCATGCTTCATGCTGTACCTCCAACGTGCCGCCTAAACGATGTGGTAACGACTCCCGGGGAATATGTAACGTCAGCTGAGGGATAGACACGGTGAACACTCTATCCCTCAGTTTTTCACGAACGAATAATCGGAGGATCTTGAAAGGCGCTTTGAACCACAGCGGCGCCGTTACTATCAGAACCTTCTTTAGTTTCGCCGGATAACCACCCTGAAACAATCACACGAGAGCACGAATGGATCATTCGAGCGATGCTCAGAGGAAGACCTGGTGCTAAATATTACACCCGCACTATGCTGTTACGCACAACAAGATACGATTAAACGATTCTCGTAATCTCTAGCGATTACTCGTGCATCGCACAAGTTCCTCCCAAGTCGTTGTCGAATCGAGAGGAACTCTCTCTCTCTCTCCTAATCTCCCGCGATGACAGAAGCGCTGCCGAGCGGTTAACGTTAACACGCCGCTGCATAAATAATCTCGAAAAGCGCGCGGTCGCGTTTGACCTTTCAAAGACACCACAATAATAGAACGGCCCGTATATTGCACATTAGCGAATCGACTGCCAACTGTAGGCAGGCAGCGCGTACTCGACGTGTAGGAACGCTTCGAGCGAACGATTCGCGTCTGTCTATTTACCGTGGGACCGGAGCGCTCCGGAAAATCACCTATCTCCGTGACTTCCCCGTCAACGTTAAACGTCTCGCTCGTTAGTCGGCAAATACCCGACATCAGCGTCTACCACCGACCGTACCCTGCGACTTCAAGACGAGACTATCCGCGAAGATGAGATTCGCGTCGAGCAGCTGTGACTCGTAGCAGCACGGAAAGCCGAGTAACTCTCAACCCTTGGACTACGGAGACTAGAGGGCGGAAGTACCGTAACGCCAACGACGTCAGCAGCACCACCACCACCACTACTATTACCACCCACCACCATCACGACTACCACCACCACCACCACCACCACCACCACCACCACCACCGCGGCTACTGTCGTCAGCGATAATACGTAACAACGACTACGTATACACAAACGTCATCATCAAGGTGCGAGAGCGAGGAGGTGTAACGAGGGCGAACGCTGACGATTTCGTTCCGGCCGAAGAAATCCCACTTCCACGCAAGAAGCGCGTCGTATATATTTTAGGACCGCACGAGCGCGCAAATATAACTCTCTCTCTCTCTCTCTCTCTCTCTCTCTCTCTCTCTCTCTCTCTCTCTCGCGGATCAGCCGAGTCGAGCGTAATGCTCTCCCCTCCCCCCCGATGACTGCTAATCGACGTGGACGTGTCGTCGGGCTGCCTTATGAAGGGTGACCGAGGAGTATCGGCCAGAGGCGGCGACGGCACCTCGCATCCGTTCCCCGATCGGATCGATCGACTTGACAGTCGACAGGTAGGAGAATTTACCGTGGGTCGCAACGGCGGCGGTCGTACGCAGGACTCGCGGGCGCACTCGCAGGCATATCAGTCGCGGGGTCGCCTCCGCGTCGACATCAATGAGACGGCAGCGGCAGCAGCGGCGGCGGCGGCGGCGGCGGTGGAGGAGGCGGCAGGCAAGTTCCGTCGATTTAGCGCGTTCCTACAGCACTCGCGCGGACTCGTCATGGATAATCGGGGCATGCGACGACGCGCGATGCCCAGGCCGGAATGGAACACGACGAGTAGCTCGGCGGTAGGCGAAAATCACACACAGTCGGCACATACACTCGGTCAGTTAATCGATAGCGCGAGATCAGGATAACCGCGGGCGAAACGGCGCGCACTTGACAGCGAGGTCAACGACGAGCGACCTCGTCGTCGTCGCAGAAAAAGAGAAAGAGGCCCCGTGAAATGATGAAGATGAAGACGACGATGACGACGACGACGAGGACGTCGTGGTCGGTCGGTAAGAGGAAAATGCTGGCCTCGCACACGAACAAGGACGCGCGATCGAACGGCCGGGGAGGGCGAGCGGGGGGAATCGGGTCGTACCGTATCCCAAATGCGACGACGGTGCCGCAAGGGGGTCACGATGATTACTGACCGCCAGCGTCGCGACGTTATCCGGAGCAGGGACGCATGCGCCGCGCTCCTCAACTACACGCGACCCCTTCTTTTCACCACCACCGACATCCCTTACGCCAAATTCCTTTTTTACTGTCGGCACAGCGCGAGGTGCAGCAACCGTATACGCGCTGACGTATTGCCCGCCACAGTGCCTCTCAACCGCACCGTCGCCGTCGCCGTCGTCATCGTCGCCCTCCACCCGCGCGCGCGTTCCCGATAACGTTTGTTCCAGTTTCGGAGATCCCGACGACTCGCGGAACTCGCCGACGGTCCCGTCGTATAATTGATCAGTTAACGCCGCCGCTAATTACGGAAGGAGAGGGAGGCTGGGAGGAGGAAGATATCCGCAGATCGGATCCCACCAACTCGTGTAATTATCCGATGATTAATATTCACGGGCGACGGACTGCCGTTAGACGACGACGACGACGACGACGACAAGTGCGACAGCGATTTTCGACCTCGGTCGAGATCGCGGGAACAAATAGACGCGGATATTCTTGCCGTCTATTGTTTTCTTCTCTTACATTGGCACAGCGAGGTTGAATCTGGGATATCGATTCCGCTTGATATTTGCGGGGGTGAGATTGCAAGTCCGAAAGGCGCGACGACAACGCGCGACGCTGCTATCGAATTCGACTATTAATTACGCGCTACGGCGGGGAGCAATTTGCGCGCATCATGACGCGCGCGTAAATGTCACTGCGCTCCGGAACCTTTATAAAAGTCATCAAGCGCCGTGGAATCACGGTCCGCCGAGCGATTAAGGACCCGATAGTCTCGCGTAACGCCCGGCGCTCTCTTTCATCACACCTTCGCGCCCTTCCGATAATAATCGAGCGACGATAATATCCCCTTCGGAAGGAGGGGCAGAAACGAGAGATATGAAAGAATCTCGTCCTACGGACGAGCCGCCTCCGCGCGTTATTTAATATCTTTAATGAATCGCCAGAAATACGTGTACGACGTAGCGTTCGCACGTTATACTCCTCGTCTATGACGTCGCCAAGGAAGTTCCTGGGAGAAACCTTTCAAAGTCACCCTACGCGCCGTACTTTGGTGCGCTTCGTCGCATAATTGCAAGCCACTTTTCACGAAGCATGAACACCCTTGAGCCATGTCGCTCTTTGAGCCGCATGCATCCCCTGTGCGCTAAAAGCTGATTCAGATTTCGCGGTCGGCTCGTCGGCGAGGCCGCGCGTCTAAAAAATCTGCCCGTACGATGGCTCGAATAATTAAGCAACAACGAGTGGACGACGTCGTTTAAATTTAGGCAAGACACAGGGGCATTCCCGAGAAGAGGAGACTTTCGTGTACAACCGAGCAAGGGTCCTCCTCTTCGTGTTCTTAGAAAACGATCGTTACCTGATCGTCGCTGAAGCCGGGAATCGTCGGTCGCGGAGCGATCGAAACGGATATATATTCAAATGGCGGTGCTGAAGCGCGTTGCATTCGGCGGGCCAGGAGAGAATCGGACGCATCGCGTGGATGACACCATTTTTTAAGTGGGCTGACCGCATCAAACCCCATTAACGCTCGGAGACTATTTCGACCGGCGATGACTAATTGGGTTAACTTTAGCGACGGTAATAACTGTAATGCCGGGCGGGGGCCGCTGCTCGCGCCGGGCAGCCGGACGAAATTGCACACAACGTGAATGTTAATCGGACCACGCATTTAGAGACGTCGGCTCTAAGGGCACACTTCGTGTAATTCACATGATTATCGTGCGCCGTTGTCCGGAGAAATTCAGTAGCGCAGAAAGCACAGCGCGTCTACCATTCGCACAGACGCCGTGGCGAGGCGTGTTCTGCTACGCAGTCGAGAAACTCAAGCCGCGGGGACAATGACGCGCCCATATGGAATGGCGCAAGTTTTTGCAAGTTTTGGCGCGGCGAGTTAGTCGCGGGCGCGACGACGACGACGCGATAATCTCGCGTGAATATTACAGTAGATTCGCGAGACACGCTTAGACCTGAAATGCGGCCGACGAGTCGACTTTATTCTCGCACGTCCCGAGACGTGGAAGTCGAGACGAGTCGCGTGACGACTTTCTTTCATGCGCCGGACGACGTTCACAGGGAGCATCTCTGTCACGTTGACGGCATTTGAGAGACCAGACCAGTATATATCGCTATACATAATGGATGTTCGCCGCAGGACTCGCTCTTCTCTCGCTCTTTACCACTATCTTTTCTCGCTTTCTAACCCCGCTCGGCAGCGGTGCTCCGTTCCGCTCCGCTCAGACGAACGCAAATCGTTACATTGCGCGCTTAATAATGTCACATTCGGAAAGTCCGTTTCACGGACGTCTCGAGAGAAAATCGGGCGTAGAAATCCACGTGACGCGCTGAGAAAATTCATCGCCTCGATCTAATCCGACGATAATCCGGCACGTCTAAAAGGAACAAGAAAAAGAGCGCGATGTTCCGCGCGACGTTATTGCGCAGCGATTTTCCACTGGGAAGTGGAGAAATTCTTAGTATACGTGTTATCTTCAAGCACGAGGAGAGAGAATGAGCGGAAATAAATTTCGCGCTTCTCGATTATTTAGGTAACTCGCGCATCGCATCCTTCGTGAAAGACTACGCACAAAGCAACTCTACGAGTAAGATCTACGAGACGTCTACGTATTTCTAATAAAAATAAAAAATGTTCCAACGTGAACGTTTTTCCTGGCATCGTCGTGATCGATATCTTATTCGATATCTGATTCTTCTTTTTATATCCTTTTTAAGAATAAACGCCTTTTCCTATATAATATTGCCCCGTAATGATCTTCTTACATGGCACTAACATTCACAATATATTCGTGGACTTACCTTCAAAAGTGTCAGAATTTTCTGCGACAGGTCATAGTCAAAATTCTGGTACTTGCTGTCAGACATATCATAAATAAAAACTAGACCATGCTTCTGAGTCTCTGCGCTTTCGAGAGCCGCATCTAATTGGTACACCACACCCTGAAAAAAGACAAAATGTGGCTACATTACTCACCGCCATGTTGCAAACTTTATTCGACTACTTCATCATGTATACACGACAGAATAAAGATATGTTTGAAATCACTCGAGGAAAGGGACTTGTAAAGTACACTTTCCCTTCATCTAATTGCTCAAGGTACACTTTGCAGAACTTACCTGCAGAGTTGTCTGGTGCGTCGTATTTTGTGGAAGATGTAAGTGCGCTGTAAAAATAGCTATCGCTGCACCTGTTGCGTCTCTTGATGGCTGAAACAATTCATTCACTGGTTAATTCGGGCTGCACTTATGACGAAGTGCACGCGCTTTGTAATTGGCCCTCTTGTTTTTCACTCACCAGGACAGTGAACTTTCCTGTGCGTAATTCGCTGAGTAAAGGTTCCTGAGTAGGATGCAGAACTGCTAGACCCTCTCTTCTTCTGGTAGCTTCGTGCTGCTCGTACAGGGCTAGGGCACGTTGAACCTCGAATTTCCGCGCCGCTAAGAATTTCACCGCCGTGCTCCAGGACACTGGACCAGCTCGTCTTCCAGCTCTGCACTTGTTTACAGCTTCTATAAATTCCTTCGTGGCCTGAAAAGAGAGGAGAAAAGAGATTTTGAACATGGAACATACGGGAGGTTTATATAGAACACATTTTTTTCTTCTCAACTGCTTGCGCACTCAGTTTCCGAGAAGAGTGATTTTACATATGGAAACACGAGCGTCTGTCCGTCCGTCTGTGCGATCGACGTTCACGTGCATCCATTGGCTCGTAACTTGATATGCGCGATCTGGAGATTTGTTTACATAACAATGTAAACGCATATAACGACGAACAGTATCCGTCTGCATTACAAGCAGGGTGTTGCAGGCAGGAACGAGATAAGTCAATATTTTGGGCGGCGATAGGATCCCCTACATAGTCAACCTTGAAAACGGCGCTAGGGGCGCCCCGGCGGCTTCGCGTTAGGGGCGAGCGAGCAGGAAACAGCGAATTACAATCTTTATCAGCGCGACCCGATCGATGCGAGCGTAACATCTGCATATCTCGGTTATTCGTCGCCTCATTATATATTATCATAGTCCACGCGTAACCTCGTTGCGAAGGAGAGAAAGAAAGAAAGAGAGGGAAGCGGGATGGAAGGAGGGAGGGAGAGAGAGAGAGAAACAGCGAGAAAAGAAAGTACGAGCCGTGGATTCTAAAGGCGATTTACTATCACTATCCGCTATCCAGTCTGAAATTTCCATACTATGTACATCGCCGGCGCGCGGAGACGATGATCCCGGTCGCGGGAACAATTCCGCTCGCGACAACATACGTGAGCTGTACATCTCCTTCCGATGCGACAATCAACACACCGGTCGGGAATCGAACACTCGAGGGGAAATCACACACGCAGCTCTCATCCGCTCGCAGCCGGGCGAAGAAAGTGCGGAGATTACGAGCCGCTACGAGACGCAGAGACGACTCCGCTCGCCGATAATTGCCGATACCGTCCGCAATGGCGACGTATCATTTTTGCACTATTAAAACGTGCAATGACCGTGGACAGTGTATAACGTACACGCGCCGCCTATACCGATATAACTTCCGGTGTCCGGCTACCTCCCCACCGGCCATTTCCGCTATAGCGCAGCCGGCGGGGACCGGGCGAGCGCGGCGAAGCGGTATAGGTCGGACGTGCGTGCATGCGTGCGAGAGAGAAAGAGAGAGAGAGCCGTGGAATTCAATACCACAAAACCGATATACACTTCTGCCGCGCGGCACACGCTGTTACGCGCGAATCGCTTGCGTTTGCCGTATAATGAGGCACAAACGACGCGGATAATAAACGGTGTCTATTTCGCGAACGCGATATTACTTCCATCCGCCACACGCTATTGCACAAGTGTCGATACGGTAAAACGGAGAGATTGATAACGGAGCTTGACCCCCTTGCCCCTGCCGCCCGGGAGCACGGGAAAGCTATCTATCGCGATAAAGACCGGGGGGGATAGGGGAGGGGGAGAAGAAAGGGAGGGAGAGGGAGGGAGAGAGAGAGAGAGAAAAATCCGACGGAACTCGCTCGTTTGCTCGATTCTTTTTTTTCCCGCGACGGGAGAGATCGATCCCCCGGTCGGTCGCGTTTGAGAGACCGCTTAGAGAAGAATTAACATCGGACGGACGGTTGAACGAACTTTCCGAACGTTAATGACCACGTGTAATAACCGGGGGGAGGGGGGATCGAGAGACGCCTCCTAATCGGTGTTAATTAATCAAGGCTGCGGCTGCAGCCGACTATTAACGTGAGATGATACGGACGCGCGCGCTTGTACATAGAGTGAGAGTGAGTGAGTGAGAGAGAGAGAGGGGGGGGGGAGGAAGAGAGAAGCAGCTGCCTTTATTATATCACGATTACCAGTTATCTCTCGAAGTAACGTAAACGTGAACCCGTTCGCTAAAAATACACGTGTGCGCACAGCTTCCCGGCAAACGGAAATTTAATGCCGCGAATCGATACGCGGGAAAATCTCGTTAAGCGAGAACTCCGCTCGAAGCCTCGGCTCGGGAATGATCCGCGTATCGACGCCGTCATCGACCGGTTAAATAGACTCGAGCTAGCTGCGCGATTGCGCGGCTCGTAAACGCGCTACCGATCCGCCTGTGCAGCGTATACATCATTAATTACGATCGGTGCGCGTCGCGACTCACGAAACTTCAATAAACGCGTATCGAACAAACGGCGCGCCGTTGACGAGTCAATTAACGGCGCGCATTAATCGGGATGACGTTTCACACACATACATTTCACATCGCGAAATAAAGAGACGAGGCGTTTGTATCTAATCCAACGTGCTACCGATCGACTTTTATTATACTAGACCGACTAGGTATAAATATACCTCCGACGGTATCCTCGCAGAGCACGCTCGTAAGACGGATTCTACAAAGACCGGCGATTGAATTTCCGCACAAGTTGCAACGTTCGCTCATCCGTTTGCTCGTTCGACGATAATTAAAGGGGATCCCGTTGCGAGACGTTATTCATCGCGTTATTTATAAACGTTGTTCCCGCATGTCCTGACCGCACCCTATGCACACGACGATTCAAACGACTCACCGGGTATGCATTACATCGACGTGAATTTTTAAGCGGCGGAAGGGAGGGAGGGAAGTAGAAAGAGAAAGAGAGAGAGAGAGAGAGAGAGAGAGAGAGACAGAGACAGAGAGGGAGAAAAAGAGACAGAGAGAGAAAGAAAGAAGTCGCGAATAGCACGTATCGCGCCGGCAACGCTCTCCTATCGACTTTATTCCGTGCGTTCGATAGCGCGGGTTTAAAATAGTCGAAATTTCCCAATAGAGATGTGTACGCGGCCGCGTTCCCCGAAGGAAAGAGCCAGCCACCGGAAACACGGCTCATTATCAAAGCCGCGTCGTGTTAAAACGCTCGGATTTCCGGCGAGCAGTAATTGCGAACTGTCCGTGTCGTCTAGATTATCGACGATAAGAAAGAGAGAGAGAGAGAGAGAGAGAGAGAGAGAGAGAGAGAGAAAGAGAGAGAAAAGGGGGAGAGGGAGAGAGGGAGGAAGAGAGGAAGAGAGAAAGAGAGAGAGACTCGTTTCTCACCTCGCAACATAGAATAACGACAATTTCCGCAACGTGTTTACGATCATTATCGCGCGGATGAAACGCTCGCGAGATAACGCACGGCGAACGCCAGGCAAACGGGCTGGTGGCACGCCAGCAATAATGTTTACATTTTCGATCGCGCAAGCAATCTCGAAATCATTCCTGATTCCCCCCCCGCCGGCCGATATCCGCGCCGCCGGACGCGTGACGCCGCGACCGAGCGATAAAAAGTCCGCTCGAGTTCGATCGCCGACGCTACAGGTATTCCCCCGCGGGGCGGAAGGGAGGCCGCGTTTCATCTCGTCGCAGCGCGTTCCCATTGTGTCATGAGTAAACACAAGGACGATTTTCGCGTTGTCAACGGCGCGTCAACGAGCCGCGCTCGTCGTCGGAAACGGCGTCTCCGGCGTCTCGATAACGTCCACCTCGTCACGGTCGTGGCCTCGAGCCGTGCGAGGAACGCGAGATCTCCGTCCGGGCGTGCGACGCGCGCGGACGCTTTGACAGAAAAAAAGTACTCACTTGCTCCTGTTCGACGGTTAAAGTGGCTGCCATTTTGGCTCAAATGCACCGTGACATGCCCGAGGTGCGTGTTTGCGGGGGCCAGTAGCGCTAAGAGCGAGGAACTCGTTTATTTCCAGTCCCGGCGCCGCGATCCTACGTTCTCGAGGGCGATCATATCGTCGTCTCGTCGTCCGGTAGTCGCCGCTCTCGTCGGGCCTCCTAGCACGGCCGAGTCTCGCGCACGACGCACTGATCCTTACAGAGCACGGCCATCGACTGCGACGGCGACGGTAGCGGAGAACAGTAAATCATTCCGGCGCTTGCTCATCGTCACACTGTCTCACACGCACTCGAGCACGATTGTGACACGCTTCGCTCCTCGCTCGATCGTCTTCCCTACGGATGCTCGCGCAGCCATCTTGAAAGCGCGCGCAGCGCGACAAGCATGGCGGCGGCGGCGATGCGCGCGCAGCTCCCCGGGAATTTGGAAACGCGGCGGCGATCGTCGCCGTTGATCTTCCGGGGATTGATCTCTCATGGACAACCAGTGTTTGATTCTAATCAGTGGCAGTGACTACTTAAATTTTTCTGATACTTGGTGCGAGAAATATATGTGGTAAAAAAAGTCGCCGTCTGGCAGAATGTCTCTGAGAATGTCATGCATAAAAAATATAGCGACGCGGTGAAGAGCAAAGTAACGAAGAATATAAAAATAGTGGGAAAAGGCGCAAGATTCAGACGTACTTGAGGAATATCTTGAGGTATAAACACACAATGTGCATACGTGTGTGTATGGATACTTAGGGAATCATTTATCGGAAAGATATTCAGATGAACGCAACTGACTTAATATCTCTTGTTCACAAGACTCCTAAAGACGTCTTTGACAGTTTTTGTGTAACAAAAATCAACTTATGGGAGAACAATATCCACTATTGTAAAATACACGGTACAACATGTGGGATAAGTAATGTCTTTTAAATGCTATTAAAAATAAAAAATTCCAGTCTCATGTTCTCATTGGCGGTCAAGTCGTTATCTTTAGTGCCACAGACAACATATCTTTCCACAAGTATCAAATCTGAATATGTTATCTCTCACTTTTTACTACGCGTTTCATTCATATGACGTAAACGTAAAATCCGACTGAATTTCATCATTGAGGAAGATTAGCCATGTTTATCCAACGTACTGCTTTATCAAAGTGCAGGACACTTGTAATTAAATATCGGACTGCTTGTTTTTACGGATAAGGAAAATGCGATCACACTTCCTCAATGTGCAATAAATCCGATACACCACCGACTTTTAAGAGAACTTCCTCTCACAAAGACAGATTAATTCTCAATTGACATTTCCTCACGTGTGCGTCTGTCGCGATCGCAAATCATAAGGCGTGTTAAAAAGAGAGGAGCAGGGACGGTCGCGAATTTGGACATAGACTGTGCGAGGCATTCGCTAGTAGTTCGCATTTATTAAACAGAGAGGACCGAGTAAATTTTCCCGTAACAAAACTGTCGAGACAATAGTTTCTGCTACAACTGGTCAAAATAGCAATTTGGACGAATTGAGCGTTGACAAGTCGGGGAGGCGCATTAAAACGAGTGACGCGCAGCTCCTTATCACTTGTCATTGTTAATCTCTAGTGAACATTGAAATCTCTCGAGGCTCGAGACTGGATCACATATCGGGACGTTTAATATTTAGTCGTTTAATCTAGAGAATCGTCAAAGAGAGGGAATCGACGTCCAATTGTATTTTGACAAAGAGAGAATCACTTGGTTGGACAGTGTGTCGCCCCCCCCCAAAAAGAAAAGAAATATTAAAGCGTGACAGCCTGGCGCGGCGACATAAATCTAAGTTCTCCGACGAGTTTCTTCTTCTTCTTAATCGAGGGTTGAGAGAGACGCAACAATGATCCAACACCGGAGCGCTTCGTAATATAAACATTTTTCTTATTCAAACGTATGTTCTTACATTTACACAGTACAAAAAATTATACTCAGACCTGCCGGCCCGCGGTTCATAACTGCTATGACTGGGGGCGGCCGGTACTTGTGGGAGGGGGGATAGCGTGGGACTTATTCCTTTCTTTTTTTATCTTTTTTTTTGCGGGGGGGTGGATGTGTCTTTCATGGGGATTCTCGTAAGATCTGTACATTGGTTTATACTATCCGTTCCACTCCGCCCCCAATACACGGCCCCTTGTGTTCTCACGTGCGTACTTTATCGCATTTTCACTGGATTGCCCACGTACACGCACGGTTTTTCTTCTCTTTCACTCGTGACACACACGCAACACGCACGCACGCATGCATACTAACCGTCTTTCTCTCTCTCTTTCTCTCTCTTCCTCTCTCTCTTTCTTGCGACTTCAAGCATCTCGCTAACTCTTCCAAATTTTTTTTTCTTTTTAATCATTTACACTCGCAGCTCGTACTACTCTTTGCTCTTTCTCTCGGCATATTTAGCAACATTTAAATATCGTATTTTCGGTAATAATTAATCGTAATAATGATAATAATATAATAATAATAATAATAATAATGGCATAATAAACTATCTACCTACGCGTGTAAAGTAGTTTTTTTTCGTGGTTTCATAAAGGGGTACTGCTTTATCATCGTAATCCTAAACCTCCCACTTTCGTATTTATATATGTATATATGTATACATATACGGATGTATAAATGTATTATGTACATACACATAGCAATAGAGAACAAACAATAGCTTCTCATTTGCAGCAATAATACACAGAAATATGTTTTCCTAGAGAACTTTATACACCGCCGTCCGTGGAGTAATAACGGTACTTCTCCTTTTTTTCTTGTTTGTTATGTTTGTTGTTGCTGTTGTTGTTGCTTATACAATTTCCATAATCGTTAACGCGCGCGCGTACTTATCAACACTAAGATATTTTAAAAATGTACTCGTTAAATATTATTTTAATCAAGTCGTTGTATGCTAGACGAATGTTGAGATCAAAGAAATTGCGGATTTCAGGATGCCAGTGATTTTCTAACTCTTTTTCCTTTTTTTCCCCTCTCATTTCGGTTCATTCGTTTGTTTTCCGATATTTCCTTCCGTTTACATGTGTTATCGGTATCGAGGATTACTAACCAGCTGTAATAGTCGACGATCGATCGGCGCGAGAATGGCGCAAACGACGCTAAGTAGATACGCCCGATTCGAGAGCTGCTGTTGCGAGTTTGCTAAAAGGAAAAGGAAAAAAGGAAAAAAAAAAAAAAAAAAAAAAGAGAAAAAGAAAATATGAACGCAAAAGTCGGAAAGAATCTCTAGTAGCTCGCTTGTTTGCGCTTGCTTTCTTGCTTGCTTGCTCGAGTCTAATGTCTATCTAACGAACCTTGCGAGACAAGGAAAACGAAGGTAACGGAAGTTACTACACAGCAGTTTTCGAATCGCGAGACAAGGACAGTGCGCGGCGGGTAGAGCACGGCGACTTCGTGTTCACGCGAACTGTCGAATGATAGGAACTCGGCCTGTCATCTCTGCGGATTCTGCGTGACTAATTGTTTTCCCCCTTTCTCCTCTCCCTCTCCTTTCTTTTTCTACCTACGCATATACGATACATAACGCGTGCACACTTAAATGTCCCACGTCGTTCAACATTGGCACTTCGAAAGTCGTTACGCTTTTATTTTTTTTTACGCTCTTTCTTTTCCCTCTCTCTCTCTCTCTCTCTCTCTCTCTCTCTCTCTCTCTCTCTCTCTCTCTCTCTCTCTCTCTGTCTCTTTCTTTCTTTAAAATAACATTACTGCATAATTTTTATCCCTATCAATTAACGCCTCATTACGATACAATTAGATTATCGCTGTCTTTTCGTTTCTTTTTTTTCTTCTTCTCCATCTTGTTTCGGATTTTATAGACGGTTCACGTGGTTTGACAAAAATAACAGATTTATCTTATTAGTTATACCCCCGTTATACGACGGGTTGCGATACACCGGGTTCAAAGAGTTAATATCGAAGGAGTTGTAATTTTTTTGTTGTTACATTCTGATGCCTTATAATCGAAGTGACAGTCATACAAAAAAACTTGTATCACCCCGCCGATATTCATAGCCGATACATATAGCTCGCCGTAGAAAAGCAATCGCAACTTTGAACAACTCATCGAGCTACGTCGAGCGATCTTCTATTAAAATGATTGCGTAAGAAGGCTTGTCCCTTCCCATTGTCGTCGAACTGATTAGTTAGGCAGTGTTTTCCGCTTTCATCACTTTACGCCATTGTTACGTGAAACATAAAAACCTAACGCGAACACGTATCGACTATCTCTGGCGGGGCTACGTTCGAGATACACCAGAGAAAGCACCAGACCACCAGAGCACACGGTTAATGGATCCAATATTTATCACTGATCCAGCTAAATTGTTCAACCATCTAATTGCACAAAGGTACTCCTAGACAACCGTCTCGCGTAGTTGCTAGCAAAAATTCATTCAGTACACAGTATGTGTGTGTGTGTGTGTGTGTGTGTGTGTGTGTATATATATATATATATAAATATGTATATATATATATATACATATGTTTGTACATATACATATATATATATTTATATATATACTCAAATATCTACATTTATATAATATAGACAGTATGTGTATGTGTGTGTGTTTGTTGTGTGTGTGTGTGTGTGTATGTGTGTATTGGATACAGGCACGATATAATTAATTACATATACGATCCACAAAGTCCTCCTTGTATCACAATAGTAAATGGATGCGGCGTTTACTTATCGCGCGATCCGACCCACGAATCTTTCTCCCCTTCTTCTTTTCTCATATATTTCATACAGCTCGTCGGACTTCATGTCCGCGGGCGGCTTTTTGCCCGTTATACGGGAGAGCAAAAAACGGACTCGGTGCAAGAGACAGCACGAAAATTAAACGAAAAGGAAAAAAAAAAAATAAAAGAAAAACCAAATACTGGCTCAGGCGAGATATCGCAAATTATAATGTTTTTTTCCAAAACGATTCCTGGTCAAATATCACAACAAATTCTTTACCTCAGCGACGTACCCCTCCGCGAGATGATTTCTTCGCGGAGGGGAAGGAGGTCGTCTTCTGCAGTTTTCTCCCGGTTATTCTTGCCAGCAAGATTCTCCGCTGTTCGGGAGTGCCGAGGAAGTCGGCAACGGGGTCAGTTTCGCCGTGACTACGACGAAATTCGTTCCAAAGATCATCCACGGCTTTTACCGTATTGCGGGGGCCTAGGGCTACGTTTCCTCTTTCGTCTTCGTCTCGTTGAGCTTCGCGAGTGTCTCTTCCTTGACGTTCGCCAAGACGGTCAGCGAGTCCTTCACCGCATGATAGATGATGTTCTTGATCTGCAGCTTGTCCTCGTGATTGGTGTGCGTGTCGGATAGCGCGCGGAATTCCTGAGTCAGGTGGAAGCAATGCGAGACATTCTCCGGCGACACGAAGTCTTCGGCCACCTTGATGCAATTGTGAAGATTACGGACTTGATGCGGCGCGCCAGCCGGCACGAATACCGCGTCACCGAGACATTGGACAATGGCGTACCTGCAACGTGCAATATTCTGTTGTTACAGTATTGTTTGTTACACACACAAGCTATCTTAAACTACTTTATACATTTGTGATTAAGAATATTATATTCAATCTACGTAAAACCGTGTAAGGTGATGTGCTTACCCTTCGACACCATATTCTCGATACAATCGTTCCCGCAACGGCCCGTCGAGGTAACAGCTCTGGTCGTGGATGGGGTCATGATGCGGTTCCAACCGAGCGCCGCGTTCCAAAGCCACGGCGTTTAGAAGGTCTCGGATCTTGTCGGCGTCGCGCGCTGCGTAAATGTGCCACAACGCGCCAGGTGCCTCGCCACGGTCGCGAACGCGACGACGCGTCAGAATATCACAGCCTGCTTCGTCTATCGCTCTCAACGCCTCTGTAACAACGAACGATTTTCGATTGCATCTCGCATGACATACCGGCAAGAGAGTACAAGAAACTTGGTTTATAACGTCAAAAGCGAGGAAACAGATGAGCCTCCTCGCTTAATCACACGTCACGTTATCACGATTAAGGACGAATAAAAGTGCGTACCTTTGATGTGTTCGTCGCTGTCGGCGTCCTTCGGGATACCCACGTATACCATGACGTTGACGGCGTCCGAGATATCCAAATGGAGATTGGTCGTGCCTTTGTTGGGATGAAGCGCAGAGCCGTAGGCGTTGTACATCTTCGGTCCCAAGTCCGGTCTCACAAAGCAATTGGGTAGACGGCTCGCTAGATTCAGTCTGCCGTTTCTGTGGGTATACTCGGACAACGGTAGGACCTTCATCAGGTCCGTGAATCTCGACGGGAGCAGCTCGGCGAAGTCCTCGCCGGGCGGCCAGTCTTTCAGCTTCAGCAGCATAGGATTACCCCGCTCGTCCTTGAGCCGTTTGGAGAAGTGTTCAAAGCCTTCCCAGAATTTACGCATCGGCTGATTCGGCACCAAGTTGCCCGTCATGCAGTTGATGAGATCGTTCTTCTCGTCGCCAAAGTCGCGCGCGAACGAATCCGGGTGCCACAGATTCATGTCCAACGCCTTGGAAACGTCCGAGACGATCACGGGTTGACCGCGCTTCCACTGGTCCTGGAATATCCGATAGTTGTTGGGATTGTTCGGGTCGTTTAGCCTCAGCAGCTTGCCGTCGCAGAGCCACGAGTGCGGTACGTCCGGGTACAGGCTCTTGCTCTCAGTCAGAGTCATAATCCTGATGGGCAACGGCTCGCGGCCTCGTTGCGTCCACTTATAACGTCGCACGAAGTGCTTCAACTCGCGCGGCTTCTCGTCGTCTAGACCGCTATCCCGTTCTTTCTTCACGCTGTGCTCGATCACGCTGGATATCACCTCGTCCAACGTGTCCATCTTCGACTTCTTGCCGGACTTGGCGACGTTGTTGCCGGCGGTGGCATTCACGCCGCTCGCGTTGTTCGTGGGCGAGTTCGATCTGGAGCCGTTGCCGTTTGACTTGTGCGACGATCCGACGAGCAGCTCCCGCAGCGTCGAGAAGCCCTCCTCGCGATCTTCGTCCGAGTCCGAGCTCGAGCCGCTCTCGTTCTTGTCCTGATTCTGCAGCGCCACGTCAGCCAGCCAGTTCAGCGGCGAGTTTTTGTCTTCGCCGTTGGTCTTGCTCTCCGACGACGCGCCGTTAGACTCGTTCAGCTTCTTCTCCTCCCTCACCTCCTGCTTGACGTTTCCGTTGAGCACCGGCACGGAGTCGCCCTTGATCAGGTTGCGCAGGATCTCGTTCGGCTGCGAGGGTGTCGCGAGCGAGCAAGCGCAGTGCTGCGCGATTCCCCATTCCGCGCGGCATTCGTGCAAACGTTGGCCGAGTCGCAGCAGACTGTCGCCGGCGATGATCTGCGTGAGCATGAGCCGCTCCGGTTCGTGAGCCTGTCTGTTTGTGCACAGAAGCCACGAGAAATCGTCCCGGTCTTTGCCGCCGTCGCCCCAGATCTTGATCGTCCCATTCTTGCGTCCCTAAAATATCAATGCGATACGTCGCTGTTTCAGTGAACTTTCTCGTCTCCGCGCAGAAAAGGTGAGAACATTTTCGATTACACATTAATGTCAGTGTTAAAAAGCTCGATAAATATTACTATGATACATCACGTAACATCTGTTAGTTATTTGTCATCATGTAGTTCCTAGCATTTTCTAACTGAAAGGAAAGGAGACAGAGAGAAAGAGAGGATGGGGGAGGAAGGGAGAGGGAGAGGGAGGAGAGAGAGAGAGGGGATGGGGGAGGGAGGGAGGGAGAGAGAGAGAGAGAGAGAAAAAAAGAAGAAAAGAATGATATCGAGCGTGACATCTTACCTTGTAACAATCGATGCAGACGACGAAGCCACATTTGGCGCAAGCCCAATGATAGTTGAACAGCGTGGTCTCACATACGTCGCACATTTCTCGGACACCTTGGATCACTCGTTTCCACGCTACCGTTCCGTCTACAACCGCCGAACTCGCTGTCAAAAGGTACATAACCGATGCGCAAAGCGTTAAAACATGCGAACAAAAAAAAAAAGGGTCACGCAAGCGAACATGCATCCTAGTACTTGGACGAGATACATAGGTCCGATATAAATAATTAGTTGTGAATATAGAAATAAATGAAGTATTATCCATATATACTTGAGAACCATCTTTCGGACGTTACATAATATTGTGTATATATGGGACGTTTGAATGGCGACGTAAATGACATACAAAAGAATCAAATGCATTTCGACGAGAATTTCAATTATTAACAAAAGAAAACAATGAACTTTACGATATGCGGCACGTGTATGTTTCATTATTATACATGTGAGATTCGTGTTAATCGGTGTAGACGAGATGGTGGGTCAATTGTGCGACACGTACAATTTTGGAAACAAAAGAGAAGAAGAGAGGGAGAAAGAGAAACAAAAGTTTACCTTCAGCCATGTGTTCTTGCAGGGCGTTTTTCTCCTGGTGCAAAAGATCACAGAATTGATCGCCAACCTGCCGAAGAAGCCGATGAGCCGTCTCCAAGTCTAAGTCTTCCCGATCTGCCTTGTCTTTCTCGTTTTTCTCAGATTTTTCGTCTTTCCCCGCTGACTCCTGGTTATCCTTTCCTGGTAACCATAATCGAAGATCTTCCTGTAACATCGTAACGATAATTTTCACGTGAGAGCGTACAGCTTGGATCACAGGTGAGGAGACGCGAGTCTGTCAATCCGCGTGTGTCAATGATCGATTTGTAGTCGATGCGAAAAAAGCACAGGGGACTTTGCGCATACCTCGGATGCATCCTTGTGTGGGTCGCTGAATCCCGCTATGGCCAGTTGTCCGTTTTTGGTGTAGCGCAGTCGGCGAAACGCGTAGAATCTGCAGAAGATATTCTGCGGTAAATTCTTAGAGCGCTGGTGCGGCGTCCATCGGCACTCGCGGCACTTCGCCAACTTGGGCGCCACCTCGAAGCAGGCGCCGTCCTGCAGCCAGCTCTCGCCGGTTTTCTTCAGTTGTGATATCGGTGGTTTGCGAAAGGGATCGCCTCTGCCGCCGCTCCCGCCTGGACCGTTGTTGCCGCCGCTCGCACTGTCGTCCCTGCGTTCCTTCTTCTGACGAGGCTGCTGGTCTTCTCCTCCAACTTCGTTACCCTTCGTAGTCTTTGGTCTTCTACCGCGTTTCCGAGGTTCTTTGTTACTTCCTATACAACAAAACGTACATCTTTTGATTCAACGGTGATCCAATGCTACTGTCTGTTTTGTCATACAATCGACATTATTCAGTGTTAAAAAGCTCATAATATATTTATTCATATCATAGATATCAACTATCGTATAATATTTCATCATATATGTGCATATACTATATACAAAGGTGTATTTCTCAGGTGAAACGAGGATAATTAAAGAATAGGGTAAGTGCGTGACAATGAATCACAAAAATTCAAAGATAAGTGGGGAACTCGCGAAAAGCATGAGAGATCTAAGGTTACTCGAAATCTTTACATTTTTCTCCGGCAAAAACATGGAGCTCCATGTGTTAAGAACTATTCTGTTCGGACTCATTCGCTCTTGATTTTCTTGAGTTCCCGTACACAGCTCTAGGGAGAGGAATAATTGTACAATCATGGAACACGGACCACTTACCCTGCAAGTGAATAGTTAGTTCACCTGACGGGAAGTCCATTTACAAGAAGCTACGTCAACTAACCGTTTCCCGAGGAATTGTTGGAATTAGCCGTGGTGTGTCGCACCCTCGATGTAGGTTGAATAGAGCTCAGCTGCTCGCTGGTGTCACTGGCAGAGCCTGCTTCGCTCTCATTGCTGGACTCGCTACCTGCACCAGCTACGCCACTTTGCTTGTCTTCTTTCCGCCTCCGCTGATCTTCCGCGGCTGTTTGTTGCCTCCGTGCGGCGCCCTTCTTTCGTTTTACCTACCACAGGGCACAGATTATTAAGTAGTCAGGAAGTTCATGCTCTTGCCGTATCTACTAGCCAAAAGCTGCTAATCGGCCACACCACTACTTCACACAACTCTACCATTCGGTTCAGGTACATCGAGTTCAGGTATCTACTCAAGTCTAAGCATAGTCAAAAATTACACAATGCTGTTATGGATTTGTCTAGGTATCGCATGTAGCCCACATATGTGCATCTACTTGCGAAATTACTGTTTATGATTTACAGCTGTCTCCCTACTTTATTTTGCGCGTGACTTTGCAATTTCGAAGAATTTGCTTCATAATGATCGACTAACACCGGGAATTCACCGGGAAAGTACTCGTCCTCTAGTGCATTCTCCTTCGAAATCTGAGACAATATGTACTATGCAGCATAATTTTCAAAATATTCCATACCGAAATTGTTATAATTTCAAGCAAGTGCAATTATCAGTGCCCGATTTACTGTAGAATTTCGACTAGAATCCAAATTATCGCGTGCAAACGCAAGAGCACGTTACGAGAATTGAGGTTATGTTGCGTTCGCGACGCAATTCCATGTAACGAAAATACCAACTACTTTACCACATTCTCCCATGATGCAAAACGCAACGCTCGATAGCGACGTTGGATATCCTTTGCGCGAATCGGCTCCATGAATCGGTCTAATTAATATCTTACACGAAACTACGCGTACGCACTTGTGTTTCGTTCGACGTCCAATGATTCATACGCGTATTCCGTTAGGAAAATGGCGCGTAGTTTATACACGAGGTTTAAATATGGTCGATAATCGACCGGTGAGCCAACGTTAATTATCTTGCTATTAAAAGGCTGATGTTGTCAAATACAATAATTTTCCACAATTTAATGTTGCAACAAAACGGCTACAGTACGTAAGATGCTCACGCAATACAAAGAAATGCATTTATACTTTGTCTGAATCGCTTTGCAGCTTGTTCAAAATTTTATTGTGTAATGTAATATAATTTCATCGTCAGGTCAAAGGAACTTTTCATCGGCAATTTGAAAAATTATAAAATTATAACAGGTTTATAATATTTATTGGGTCAATTTAGCCAAGATTCGAACCCTACTTAGCAGAGACTCAAACTATGCGACCATCGAGTTTTCTGTGACTCCGCCGGATGGCGCCAGTTAGGCCGTTAGGCTTTTGCAAAAAGTTAATATTACAAGATATAGTTCTAAAGTCTCCGCTACGAGCCGCCACTATCATTGATAAAGAATCGAGATAGTAGTAAGCCATATACGCTTGTACTTAATGGCTATATATTTTCCTAAAAGGGAAAAAAAAAAGAAAAAAAAAGAAAGAGGAAAAATTCCAGGTACTAGTACAACTCAACGAAGAGGTCAGACATGCTTTCATTTTCAAGCAACAGGACTGCAGATTGCAAGATCTTAAATTTTCGAGTTGTACAATTTCACGAGTTAAATTGGCAAGAAATTTAATATTGCATTAAACGTTGCAGAATTATCGTTACGAATTTATACCTTAGAGAGTAACATGTCCCGAGTATTTTTCAAGTAGCAAGCAAGTAAAGACCTACAAGGCGCGCGACATGCGCGCTTCAAATGACGAGCTTGCAGTAGCAACAAAACAACAACACAACACGCAACAACTACTGCAACAATATCTACGGACGAACGACCAATAGAGATAGATACCTTGGGTGGCTTTCGCTTGGGCGGCGACTTCCTCTCCGGGTCGCTGCTGGACGAGTCCTCCTGGGGGGTCTTGGTGGTATCTGTGGCATGGCCATTGAGGGATTCCTTGTTCGTCGGTTTCCGGCCGCTCTTGCCGGTTACCTTGCTCTTGTTGATGCTGTTGACCGCCATACTGCCGATATTGTGAATCGAGTTTACCGCGCTGGGCAGACAGGTGCTCGTCGGCGCATTGTTGGTCGTGTTGGAGGAAGCGCCGCCGCCGCCACCACCACCACCACTAGCACCACCACCACCACTACCACCACCACCACCACCACCGCCACCGCTGCCGCCGCCGCCGCTGCTGCTCTCGCGGTGTTCCTTATTGTTCAACGGTTGCGATGGCACCTGGGAAATGTTCAAAGGTAATGTAACGCAGGAACCGCTGCCGACGATGCCAGTGGTGTCCTCCGTGCCGTCCTCGCCAGAATGCCTTTGCAACCACGCCTTCTTCAGCTTGTGCACCGGGTAACTGGTGCTGCTGGGTGGTCTCGGTGCCGGGCTGTTGGATTTCTCGCTATCCGCGGTACTGGTGGTGATGTTGTTGACTTTGGCGGGTGTGCCAGGCGCGCTAGGTGCTGGACTGGGTGCGGTAGAGGGCGCAGGACTTGGTATAGGTGCCGGACTGGGTACCGCGCTCACTGGCGTGGGGTTGAGCGAGCACACACTGCCAGTACTGGCGGGCCGTACCGAGCCGTCACCGCTGGAAGTTCTCGGCGCTGGGCTCACCGCCGTGACCGTGCGCTCTTGCGCTTGACTGTTCGGCTGGGCGAGCAACGCCGCGGTATTGACGACTGTGGTGATGGACGTGGCGGCTGAGGCGATGAGCGGACTGGGCTCGCTCACCCTGGAAAGCATAGGTGGTCCGACGCATTGCAACGATAACGGCTGTGGCTGCGGTTCCTCCGTACGACGTTTCTTGGATACCTCCAGAGCCACCGGTTGACCGGCGTTGTTGTCACACAACAACGGCGTCGGCGCTTTCCTCTTGGGCGAGCCCGACCTCTCCACCCCGAGGTCGAGCGGTTGCGTTTGGAAGGCCGTGTTGATCTGTGGCTGCACATGCTGCATCGTCTGGCCGGGCTGCTGATGCGGGCTGATGGTGCGGTGAACGGGATGAACGATCGGCCTCGAGAGAGGCGCCGAGGCGGCCGTAGGCGGTGAACCGTGCAACGGCGGCGGCAGTTTTCCGGCCGGCATCGAGCCGGTGTACGCACCCCGGCCGTCGTAGACGGATCTGCTGTGCGCAGGTGGCGGCAGGTGTGGCGCCCCATGGTGAGGCACTTGCTGGTAAGGCGAGCTGCCAGCCTTCGAGGTCAACGGTATCGGCGCGGCGACCGCCGGCTCAGACGCACGGCACACCGGCGTGCCGGTCATGATGCCGGAGTTGGGTTTGCCGTAGAAATGCTGCGGTGCCGGGCTGCTGACCTTCGGCTTGGAGCCGGTCGTCGGCGCGGCATAGTGCGACGTCGGCGAGGCCGTGGGCGGATGCGGATGAGGATACGGATACGCGGACTTTGCCGGAGCATACGACGGTATACCCTGTTGCTCCGACCTGTTCAGGTAGCGCGGCTCTGGCGGCGAAGGATGCGGCGGCAATAGCGGCGTCGGCGGTTGAACGTGCGGGTGTTGGGTGTGCGGAGATTGACGGTTGTGCGAGTGCGGCGCAGGCGCTGGCGGCGGTGGCGGCGGGTGGCCGTGCGGACTCGGCAGTTGCGTCGTTGTCGTCGGCACAGCGCCACGGTGATGACTCGCCGGTGGCGGCGGTATGCTCTTCGCCGCCGCCTGCAGGCCGTCCAGGTGGTGAAGATGGTGCGGACTCTGCGTCGGACTCCTGTACTCGTACGCGGCCGCCTTGTGCTGCGGTACCACCGACTGGACGTTCAGGTAAGACATTATCTTCGGACTGGATGAGTGCTGCTGCTGCTGCTGCTGCTGCGGCGTCGGTGCTTTCGGCTCCCGTCCCTCGTTTTTCACGATCACCGAGCTGCTGCTCTTGTGGTCTGGCAGCAGAGACGGCGGATTCTGCAGCACCTCTCTGCCGTGGTGGTCCCTCTCGAGGCCGCCGGCCAGTCCACTCTTGCCCGGCAGCGACTTGTGCGCTTGGCCCAGGTCGCTCTTCATTTTCACGTCGTGTATGTAGTTTGGCGCGTACGAAGTGTAAGTGCCGAACAGGTTCATGTTCGGCTCAACTTTCGGTAACGAGCTGTGCGACGGCCCGACCACTGGCGGCGGCTTGTCGTGCAAGGTGCTGACCGAGGGTAACGACGTCTTCGACGTCCGCGAGTGCGCCGGTGGTGGGTGATAGTCGACTTTCCCGGGCACGCTCGACGGTCGAGATGCCTGAAACACGTATTGTCTCGTTAGAAATATATCTCATTAAGAAGAAGAGAAAAATTATCCTTTCAAGCTGCTCCTTTCACGGACGTTCAAACATTCCGCCGCCGCATCTGTCTACTTCACAGCAGACGCTGATTCCTTGCTAGTGATCCCGATTTCTGTGCTCCAACCGTCCGGCGGTCAACCGTAGCAGTCAAGGCGAGGGTAGTGTGTTTACCTTCACGTCAACTTGACCGCCAAACGGTTGGGGAGTCTGAAGATCGGCAACAACCAAACGAGAATTCGTCAACGAAACATCGAACCCCGCCCGACATGTAACGCGGATCGTTTGAGCGTCGTCGGTGAGTGGGGAAGAGGAAGGGAAGAAGAGCAGCTCGCTGAGAGAAGCCAGCGCGCGGTCGAGACCATACACACGCACCTGTTGAGACGGCGGGGCCGTGGCCGCGAAATAAGCGGCCCCCTGCTGCGCGGCGATGTGATCCCTGGTGTCCGACTGGCGGAGGTGCAGCCTCATGGCTGCTGCCATTTGCTCATTCTCCCGTTCGCGCTCTGGGAAGCGCTCCCACTCGCGTTGGTCGCGTTCCCGTTCTCGTTCCCGTCCGCGCTCCCGTTGTTGCTGCTGCTGCTGAGCCACGGTCACAGGGTGAGCGACTGCCGCGGCAGACGCGGCCGCACCCGGGCCGCCCGAATGGTGGTGACCTGTGTGCGAAGTGGTCATTCCCGAGTGCGGCGCCCCGTGGCTCCTGCCGGCGGGCGGCATGGGAATGAAGGTGTTCCATGATAGAGAGCTCCTCTGCGGGGCATAAGATATCTATTTCAATTAATACTGCCAATCGCTTTCGCCGCGTATCCCAGATGATAACTCATCTGCAGGATACAGGGAGGCGAGAAGGTTCCAGGAGGGTGCCTCCACCGAGGGATGGAAAGGGACACGATGATTAGGGACGAGTAAACGAGTGAACGAACGACACACAAGAGGAGGTGCGAAGAGGAATGGTACTGAGGAATGATGAAGAGAAGGCGCTGCTCCTACGGTGGATCAGGTCTTACCTACCAGGTCTGTTACTACCCGAGGTCATCGTTTGTTCCTCAAACGATGCCTTCAATTACAGCTACTGCGGGTATGGAAGCTCTATCGCTCTTTACCGCTCTGGCGCTGAAGGTGTGTAAAATAGCAACGCGATCACCATTTGTTACCTCACGCTAAAGGCCATCCACACACAAATGAACGTAAGCAGTAAAGAAACTGCTGACCGATCACAATCAATTATTCTCGTAAGTTTTAAAATGGCGTCCTTAAATTTCGATTTTGTGATTGGTCGATTTGCTTACTACTACTTACGTCTTACTGCTTAAGTTCGTTTGTGTGTGATAGCCTTAAGTCGTCGGTTCATTGCATCTGCGTTGTAATTAACATAACAGCTAATAACAGCTCGCAATCGGCTTCGAAAACTTTAGTTTCAGTTGCAAGGTGGTAGACCTTAAACCAAACCTGGGTACGTTCCGTAATTGATCAGCTGATCGATTATCAAGGACCTGTTCTTTGTAGCTGCACTGCTCAACTGGTGCAATAAGTTAAAATGAGACAACTATATCTTCTCTCGCTCTAACTTATCGCACTTGTTCAGCAGTGCAGCTGTAAAGAACAGACCCCACGATAACAAGTGATCAAAAAAATTTATCCGCTTCTCCATTTAATATTGCAAGATGAATAGCTAAAATCAAGTTTGTAAGCACAGTACATGGCTGTGGTGTCCAAGCGTGATCAGCTGATCACTGAATTACGGAAAGTATTAAAGTTAGCCCATAACATTTTTATTCACAGTCTCAGGATAAGTTACTAAACCGCTGACCAATGACGGCGAGCTGAGCCCCGACGTTGAGCTCGTCCCGTCAAGAGCACCAGCGCGCTCCGAACAGCGCGCGATACTTCCTCCGACGTTTCTCGGAATGTCGGAGCACCGCGCAGTCAATGTTAATCATTCACCGAGACGTTCTTTACATAACGCGAGCCTGCATTCTGTCGAGCGCGCGGGGTTATGTGCGTGCACACACGTTCTCGCTCGAGACGCGCACTCCGTGTCATTCAATTGTCAGGCAAATAACGAACCGTCGTGTGTGTGTGTGTGTGTGTGTGTCTCGCGTATGCAGCGTATGTACACACGCGCGCGCACATGACGCCAATGATGATGTCACGTGCGAGCGCGCGGCGATTATCGTTCTTTCGTCCGCGGAGGAGCGAGATCACATGCGCAGGTATAAATATCGTTTTAGCGGCGTTCTTCCCCCGTCCGCGACGCAGCCTCCAATTGCGCCTCGCACGTAGTGCGACGGTGCGCGTGTGTGCGCGCGCGCGCGCGCGCGCGTGCACGTGCATGTGTATGTGGAAATGCCACGTCCGACTGCTGAATCTCGCGCGCGCGCGACCCGTGAGAGATATCACGTTCTGTTCGCGTGGTTAGCCCAAATTCTTCGCCAGACGTCTCATTAGCATGCACGGCAGGGGCGGCGCGGCGGCGGGGGCGGCCGGGGGAATACGTGGCGGGTATTGTCGCCCGCGGCGCCGATCGAAGCCGCGTTTAAAATCGCCGGGACTTTCCCAGTCACGTGTACCTCCATGCGTGTGTGTGTGTGTGTGGGGGGGGGCATCGAGTCGTGTACGCGCGAGCGAGAGAGAGAGAGAGAGAGAGAGAGAGCTTCGATGCGCAGCGGTCGCGGGAAAACTTGTTTTCCTCGAGCGCGGTTGCAGATTCGCGTGTCGCAACGCCGCGCGCAATCAAGATCAACGTCGCGAGCGAGCGCGCAAAGAGAAAAAAACAAAGGACGTGCGAAAAGAGCGCGCGCGCGCTATCGCGCCTGTGTGTGTCTGATAAAAGAGGAGAGAGAGAGAGAGAGAGAGAAGCGTGCACGAAGGCTGGAAATAACGGTGCCGGCTAATACGACAGTCGCCGGATATCGTTATTTTAAGTTGTCATTTTTCCCCGCGTGGGAGGATTCTGTCGGAAAAGTCTGCGGGGAAAAAAGGACCTAAATATAGTTCCTCCCATGGAGGAGGCCGTGGTGGAACGTCAAAGAGCGCTCGCATTGTTTTTTCACCCTGAGCCATTTCTACATGGATCTCTCGCCTCCCCCCTCTCTATGTGTGTGTGTGTGTATATATATATATATAATATCGACATTCGCACGATCCTGCGCTCGAGCGACCGCCATCAATTCTTCGGCGTTGTGGCGGCACGACTTACGCGCAACAAAATCCGCGTTTCTGCACGACGGAAAATAACGGCGCGGATCGAAGGATGGAACGGGAGGATGCTCGCGGCGCGAGGTCCTGGTGGGAAAATGAATTAACAGCGGCGTTTCTCGTCGCTGCACCCACACCGGCCGTGGATTCGCGCGAAAACTGCGTCTCCGGAGCGAGACTGGCTTCGTTAACGGCGCCGTGGCAAGAGATTCGGAAAATACTCCGCGCGAAGTTACCGAAGGAACTTCGACGTGCGACTAAGGAGCTACTCCCGGAGCGAGAGGATCAAACAAACAACTTCCAGCCGTTGCTATCAACGCACGTCGATTAAACTCGACGGAACTCGTTTCTGGAGCGGCTGGGAGACCGTAAATTAATGCAATCAAATAACCGGTACATCGAATCGCGCCGAGAAACTAGTGCTCACTGAAGACTGTAAACACTGCCCGGCGCTCGCACCGGGATTCCGAGTTCCTGTCGTCGTCAGGACGACGTCAGGGATTTCGCGTATGACGTGTATATGCCGTACGACCGCCGACTGGCGATATCGCAGCGGAATATTTTCCGGGGCTCGTAAGCGTGCGTCACGTTACGCAAACGAAAATGTCTAATTTGCATCGTAATTACCGCGAGAGAGAGAGAGAGAGAGAGAGAGAGAGAGAGAGAGAGAGAGAGAGAGAGAGAGAGAGAGACTCGATCAATCTCGACTCGCGAGAAACCGAGAGAACGAGACACTTCTTACTCTCTGTCTCACTTCATATATTACAGACGACGCGACGGATATTCGCGATACACGAAGAATATCCCCGCGCGCGCTCGCCGAATATATCTCATCCCCGAGGCTCGCAGGAAAGAAACGAACCGAGCGCTTTCCATTTCACCGAGGAAATTCCAAGTGGACGCGAGACGGGTGGTCTCGTCTCTGAGAAAGAGCGCGACTCGTCTCTCGACCTCTTCTCTCGACACCGGGAGCAGAGATCGTGTCAAGGTCTTCGCAAGGTCTCTCGGGACGAATCGAAGGAGGACAGACGCGGCGGCGACGTCGCGTCTTCGCGCAACGAGGAGGTGCTCGAAGAGGCCGAGCTGCGAATCTAATTATAGGTTCGCGGAGAGAAGAAGGTTTACTATGCTAATCGAGGCGCGAGTAAATGTCAACCCACGTTCTGTTTACCTGGATACTCGCGTCATTGCATGTCGCGCGCGCGCTTTTAACGGGCGCATGAGCGAGCGCGAGACGCGTCGTTATACAAAAGAAAAGTGCAACGAGCGCGACGGCTTGGCACAAAAGCCCGCAAAGTCCTCGTTAAAAGCGCTCGGCGAACGCAACGTTAACGCGCCGCACACGCGGCACGTCTGTCGCGAGTAAAACCACCGTCCATGTGTGCGTGTGTGTATGCGTATCTCTCTCTCTCTCTCTCTCTCTCTCTCTCTCTCTCTCTCTCTCTCTCTCTCTCTCTCTCTCTGGCATTCGCCAAAGGTGCGCTCGTTTAAAAAAGAGAACAGCTCGCGCTTTCGGTATTTGTTATTTATTTTATACCGTCCATTTATTAGTGACACACAAAGAGGTTATAATCGCGCGCGACTCTAACAGAATAACGCTCCATAAATATTGCATACCGCGCGCGCTGTCCGCTCGGCACAGGTAACATCGTTTGAGAGCGTGACCGATCGCAGTTTCCCGTATCTCACGGTAAACCCCGGCCGACGCGTGTGCTTTTCACATTCCGCCCATCTGCGATAGTGTGCGCGGCGAATTTCACGAGGCATCGCATATTATTTCTCAGAGAGGAAGAGAGAGAGAGAGAGAGAGAGAGAGGGAGGGGAGAAAGGGAGGAGAATATAACGGGCGTTGAGTACGCACTCTCTCTAAACGGGGTTGAACGACTCCGACCAGCTCTTCCACGCGTCCGGCAAATAACAGTGGAAGAAATACAACGCGAAGGATACAATTCGGCCTCTCTCGCTATGTACGGATCGCGTTTCGATCCGTCGCGAGGCGAGCGAGCACATCACGTAAGTGGCCGAACCTATACTTGGGAGCACGCCACCGGGTATACGTCGCGCACGATGTGGGACGAGCAAGAGAACGAGAGAGTCGAGCATCGCTATGCAGCGCAGGAGGAAGGGGGAGGCGGAATGGAAGGGGAGGGAGAGGAAGAGGAGGAGAAGGAGGAGGAGGAGGACGAGGGAGGAACGGAGACGGATTATAAGCGATTGCACGTAATAAAAGCGGCGTGCCATTCAGAGTCAATCAAGCACCGCTCGCTATTGGTTCGTTGACTTTCTCCCGCTGAACTCTCAACCGCCGCGCCGATTAACTTCTCACGCGAGCCTCGTGCTTTTCCCCCGCCTCTCGTCCCTCGCGTGTAAGCGATCGTCGTTACTCTTGCGAGAGAGAATTTTCGCCATATTTCATTTGGACGAGATACACGAGAAAGAGAGAAAGAGGAAGAAAAGGAGGAGGAGGAGGAGGAGGAGGAGGAGGAAAAGGAGGAGGAGGAGGAGGAGGAGGTTCCGCAACAGCGGGCAGGTGCTGGGTCGGGATACGATTAAAACGCTCGAGTCGCGTT